GAATTGAAGTTTCTCCTTTGTCATTGCCTGGAGATCCATGGCATAGTCGTGGGGTTGAACGCTGAAGCGGGTATATCGCTGGAAGGGCCATACCCAAGCAGCCTTTGTGATTCTGACGGTACGAATACCCATGCCAGTGATGGCAAGGTATTCGTCCGGAGCAGAGATCTTGTACGACATGATGGAAGACTTTCTTGATGGTGTGGTGGTGATGGGAAGTTTGGGTCTCTGCCCAGAAGGACTGGCACAGCAAAGGAAAATAAGCAGCGAAGTAAGGGAGGGGTATAGAGAGTAATGAAAAGGCAAATGCGATGTATATATATGTGTTTGTATATATATGTGTTTGTATATATATGTATTATATATATGTATAATTGAACAGCTCGTGACTGGGCGTTTGCTGTAAGTGCGTGGCTGAAATTGGCTTCCGAGTATTATATGCAGAGTTCCGCATAGCAAATATACAGAATCACGCGCCCATTTATACCTAACATCCATCTACGCATGCCAAGTCAGAGGGAATTAGAAGCACAAATAAGCCCAATAGAGAGCCCAGATTGTCATTGCCTTGCATTTGCGCCTCGCAGCCATTGGCCTATAATGCAGGGCTGTTCTGTTAGCTCCGACATCTTCTCGGTCGGCCATAGGCGGCATGGTATAAAACGCGACTCTCCAAGCGGTGGTGGCGCAGCACCAGCCGTTCTAGAAGCTTTCCCGCAGACGGCAAAGATGCTACGGCGAATGCTACAAGCAGTAAAAGCCAGGACTTGGCAGTGAGGCGAGGTCCCAAATCGCACTTATTCAAGGGGTGAGCCCAATTTCGAGTAACTGCCGGGATGGCGCTTCTCAGCCGCACAACCTAACGCTCTGGCGTGGGCAGACTCGGCATTCCGCTGTTCCTGCGATGGCCGCGGCTGGTCATTTGACCGCTGCTTATACTGGGGATTTCGAATAATATGGCGCGGATGAAATCTATTTCGGAATTGGTTGCTGGCTGCTGGTTGCTGGTTGCTGTATGAGGGCTTTTTAACCGCCGTTCCGTAGATGCGTCTGCGCCATATTCCCGCCAACACACACTCGATCGAGGTGAGCCTCGCCCTGGCCTAGACAAACATGGGCCGCAGGAACAGGACATTACAACGTATCAAATAGCGCAACATGGGCTCATGTAGCAACAACACAGCCATTGCGCTTTTCCGTGTACATGTATGCGCCAACGCTAACGGCGATCCGCCGCCGAAGCTCGACTGCCCCGTATTATTGCCGTCATAAATCCAAATCAATGGCCGGATCGTGCCTATAAGGAAAACCTTCAGCTTGGCCACATGATGCATACGAGGAGGAGAGGAAAGCTTACAGGCGTTGCTCCATAATGGATGTGCGCCTCGTCTCGTCTCTGGTCAACCGCGTCCCCACAGGTGGTTGATCTTTGCTTGTCCAGACTGACTACATACCTGTTTCAGCCTGCCGTCTACTCGTCTAAACAGCCACCATTGGGTGCTCCGCCTCAGACGTCCACATGTAAAGCAGAAGCAGTGACCATAGCTAGATAGCTTCAGGCCTTTATGCTAAATATTTGCCTGCGGGAAAGAATAGTTAATTCTACTATTACTTTTGGTCGTGCACGCCAGAGACATGCGTCTATTGTGGAAAGTCGCGAGAGCTGTCATCTCTATTTCCATGCTCATATGAACAAGGTAACAGTCGCTGCAAAATAATACGTAAAGATGTCTTCTAGCTGTATCTTTTTTAGCTTAATTCAATATAATTTGACACGAGAGATTGACACTCCGAGTATGAAACCAGACCGGGATATCATTTTGACTGGCGTACACTTGCATCCTGAACGCTCGCTCGGGAGGTTGGCTGAAGAACCGTTTTTGGTCCCGTAGGAATAAAACCAGTATACAACGATAATGCTGATGAGGCTACTAAGAGTCTTGGTAAACCAGAACCGCTTCTAAATGGTAGGTTTCCCGGATGAAGCAGACCCTTCAAAAGGCAACAGAAATATGATGATCAGCTGCTGTACAATTGGTAGTCGATTGCACTTCAAAACCCCTAAATACCGGCACAATATATGACATTATGTTTCTACCGGATACACTTGGAAGAGAGGACCAAAATGAAAACATCGCGGATCATTGAGAACTCTGTAATGTCCTCGTCTTGATGCGCTGCTTCACCACACCATACAACTCAATAGATATAAGTCAGTCGAGATGCAATATAATAACGATAGGCCGATTTTTTCTGAATTTACATAGTACTGAAAGCTATCTTTCAGATAACATGTCTCATCCCACGATATTAGCCTCTAGTGGACGAGACGCTGCCCTTGAAGCATATTGCCATCAAGTAGCGATGCATTGTTTTAAAGGTACATAGATCAGTCACTCACAGGTATATAAGCCGTTGGAGGAGCCTAGCAGTGCCAAGTTCCTTGGGTTTACTCGATTGAAGCATCAGATCTCTCCTCTCCTAGGGCGTTAAGGCGCGGATCACTGATGAGATCATGGTCATGGCTTGGTCCCTAGACCTCGACCAGCCGCAAAGTCAGTATGGACCAAGGCGGGAGTGTTGAAGAAGGTAGCGACATGGAAGCATGACCTGAATACCTATGGAACATTGTAAAACATATTTCGTTTATATGATTATAGTGTTGCAATACATTGGCCCTGAATAATATTGTGGAAGTAATTCATTATATTTCATTGTAATATTATAATATTTCACACCTCATTTACATTTCAGGCGTCGTTCTAGACACACATCGCAGCGCCCTTTCCACTCTCGGCTGTCGCACTGACTTCAATGTGTAACTACATGTAATTTCCAACGTGCTTAGAAATGATTCCTATGAGGCCAACGGCGACCTTGATGCACACTAGTCAATCCAGCCATTCCACAATAACTGCTACATACTCGAAATACTCCCTCAACGACCATATCATTGCTTTCTTTGCAAAAAACATCTGCCACGCGCCCCGGATGCGACGTTCCAGCAAATGAGCCAACCGGAGGCTAGGCTGTTCCAATTGAAGTGCAGAGCGATACTCTGTCTATGCTGGCTCTCATCTTGAATCCGCTGTTTAGCTCGGACTCAGGTCACTTAAGCTCAAAACCCTGATCTTTACGTTAGTAGGAAGATTCTGGGGGCACCTGGCTTCCAGTGTGTTCTCTACGAATGACACAGGGGACGAAACTAGGAGCAAAGAATACATGTAGAATTATCTCATGAATATTAACGTAAGGTACGGAAAAGCGCCGGTTAGATTACGTAGTAAACATGGTAATAAGCCATACAGGCACACCAAGATAGTCTCACGGTGATATTAATACAATATCCAGTACAGCTCACTGGCATGGCTCGAGCAGGATCTGTGAACAGTACAGCCGAAGAAGTGATGTTTGTCTTGCCTGCATACTTACCCCCGCTCATGAAAACGCGGTAACCTTGCTCGTACTGGAATTCTTATAAATCTCTTGAGTGTTTTACTCCTCACTGTCGGTGTATTGTGGCTGTGCCCCCAGATAAAACTCGATGTGGTAGCTTGGCATATTGTTTTCGGGGAAGCGCCCCCAGAACAAAGCGATGAGGCAGTGCTCACACGCCATTACGGTTAATATGGCCAACGAGTGGCTGAGTTTTAAAGATAAAAGCTGATATAAAGGTCGGCGACTGCCAGGGGGTCAATCTTCAGGACAACGCTGGAGTGGGAGCTTAGACAGGCCTGGAGAGAAGGATCTTGTTTGTGCACTTGCACTGAATTCTCAGACACTTCACAGAAGGAAGAAGGTGTGAAAAGACTAACGGCTCTGGCTCTTAACCTGGATTCTGTTCCCATCCTCAACATGCGTCGTAGTGAGTAGTACACCATAATTGTGACATGTTAGAGAGACACTTTGCTGCTATATGTCCACAGTACCAAGACCATAACACCTACCTGTAGATACTATCATGCTGTAATTCTGAATAAGTACGAATATCGATCTCTTTACATGCATAATACATCAATGTTTGAATAAAAGGATGCCTTTGTCCAGAATCCGCAGAACCACCACACAAACCCCCATGGAATGCAAGCCACCAAAGCCGTCGTCCAAACTCGCCAACACACGTGTAAGTGCAGATGGCCAAACTGCAGCTACTAGTGCCATGCATCCTACGAAACTTGCATCAATGCAGCGCAAACTCGAAATGCTGGCTTGCATTCTTTTCATGCAACTCCCTTTCAATCAAAATCCTCCATTGGTCGCCGAGCGGTTCTCGCTATCTAGGCGAAGTTCTCTCTGTCACACTGCATGAGTTTGCCTGTTTGCTTTTAGTATTGCTGTTTGTTTTGTCACACCGCCAGTCTTGTGCAGTGTGAGAAGGCTGGGTTGCACGTAAGGGGGGGAAGATTGGATGGAGAGCGTGGCCATTCAGCGTCGCTGATGATTACTCACAACAATGACAAAGAGACATGTTGAGGAGTGCACGGAGTAGCGAGCAGCATACTTGATTGTATCGTGTATCTGTCTCACCTCACACGGCAATTACGACACGACCTGGAATACATTGCGTGCTGGTGGCAGACGCATCATGTAGGTTGAAATCACAACGCAAGGGGAGTCGAGGCCGCATGAAGTGCTATTCAGTTAAGCAGTGTGATGTAGTATTTCCAAACGCCACCAGCACCATATGACGTGTGCTATTAATGGAGAGATTAGCCCGACTGTGACTACTATTCTCTCAAGATAACTAGGATGTGGGTGCGAACCCAAGGACAGTCTCGGCCTCAAACCCGTTGACATTCCCCCGTAAAAAAACAGTAGAAGGATACACAATATAAAGAGAAGACAAAAAGAAGAGAAAAGAAAGAAAAAGCCAATCTAGATAGGGTAACACAGATGCATAAGAGAATTGAAGAAAGACATGAAAAGAAAGATAGAACCAAGATGTGAAGATAGCCGGTTAATGACAAAACAAGCCTTCAGACAAAATAAAGACAACCCATTTATATCACAATACCACGCTGGCTCCACCCTCCTCGGCCCTTCCAAGCCCAGAGTAATAGGAAGCACGCAACAATGACACAAAGACCTTCTGCCCAAAAAGTAGCCACATAGCAATGCTTTCCGTAGCAAACAGAGTCATCAGATCCACCCTTGTCGTCGCCAGGCTGCGACGGGTCAGCAGAAGAGCTTCTCGCCCCAGCCTCGTACACGGCCGAATAAACAAGGCCCCAAAAGGTAGATCCAAAAGCAGGCAGCATGGCAATGATGCCGAAATTTGTAGCAAAATTTTCCACGCCCCAGATAATTGTGACAATAAGCGGAGTAAGAGAGAAGACAGCTCCGTAGCCCGCTCCAACAAGACCAGAGACAATCCAGAACCGGTCAGCATGATTCTGAGCAGCACCGCTGGCAAGGAATAGGAGTCCGGCTGCAAGCAAGACTGCGAAAAAAAGCATAAAGACAACGCGAGAGATGGCAAAGCGCTTGATCGGAGACAAAGGGCGTGAAGGAGGGACTTGGATGTGCTGAGTCTCTGGTGCTGGAGCCAAGATGTCGGTCAAGGTGCCAATCGTGAGACGAGCAATGGTGCTAGTAACGCCAAAGATTGATACGTGAGTGGCAGCTGACGTCTTGTGGTTGACATCTTCAGTAATGGGAGGCGTTAGAGTGCCGATGACGGTGCCTAGGTTGTTGATGAAAGCCTCGCCAGGCCCAATCATTAGCAGAAAGGCTAGGGCAAATGGCCACATTGTGTGGTCGGATAAGAAGCGGCGCGTCTCGGCATTGAGAACCCAATTCTTCTTCCATTGAGCGTCGTCGTCGACGTCCTCGGCATTGACATCGTCTTGAGCGGTGGCGGGGATTGCGCCGTAGCCTGCATTAGATCTTCGACTTTCAGATCGCGCAAGCAGAGAGCTTCCATCTAGAAGACCACTCTGCTCCAGCTCTTCAATGGCTTCCTCAATCAGGTCTTGCTCGTCGACAACCTTGAGGGTGAAGACGCCGACAATGCCAATGACGAACAACAGGACGGCAAGGAAAACGAAGAAGCGGAAGACGTCGACGTCGCCCCTGGACCCATCGGGATTCTTCTCGGCCAAGAAACGGCTGCCGAACTGGCTCAGCCACATGCCGCTGAGACCAAAGCCGGTGATGGGCATGGCCAGCGCCAGGCCTCGATATTTGCCCTTGCCGAAATTCTTGGCGCATGTCGACACCGAGCTGATGTACATGGCGCACGTGCCGGCTCCAATCATGATGAAGGCGAGCACCATGAGTGGGTACGACCACCCGTTCTCCGCGCCATGAGACTTGCCAAGCGTATTGTATTCGTAGTCCAGCTTCTTGTAGATGCCCGCTGCGAGTCCGTAGCCTCCTCCGAACAAAAAGGCAGACAATAGAGCCAGCGGCGCAACGCCCATCCGATCGCAGACGTATCCCATCACCGATATGGGCAGGTACAGCGCCACGGAGCTGCCGATGGCGACGCCATTGACCTGGAACTGAGTGTAATGCAGTCGCGATAGGAACTTTGGCGCGTAGAGCGAGAAGACGACGATGGAGCCCGCGCAAAGGGCCGCAATTGTGGCGGAGACGAGCGAGATGAAGCGGACAATCTGCTTGGATCTCAGCTGGCGGCGGCGGGTCAGCGGGTCAGAGACGCTTGACGACAAGTCGCCTTCATCGTCGCTGGCGAGAAAGGAAGAGCGGTCGTCCTCGTCGAGAGCAGTAGGGGGCGTCGGGTAGATGAAGCGCTGCTGGTCAGAGGGCGACGCTGAGGTCGGCATGACGGGCGATTCGGAGAGATGGCTGCGCGACAAGCAGCAGGAGAAGAAGGAATTGGGCGAGGGTCGGTCGGGCTTGATGGAGTTGTTCAGTGGCTTCGCATGCTTGATTCGAGGTTGGTGATAAATACGGCAGAGAAACCAGAAGAAAAGGAGCGAGAAGAAGAAAAGGGGCTGGAAGAGACTGAAACGAAGAGGAACTGCGGAAGAGCAAGCATTGATGGGAAGAGAGAGTCACGAACGGGAGTGGAGCATGGATGGGCGGATGACACAAGTTGAGCTCTTATCGGCGGGATAGATAGGTACCGATAATGATAGCGTCAGCGACTGCAACCGCTGGAAAAGTCTGGGGAAATCCCGCGAATGGCCTCGGTCATCAGCGCTGTAGTGGCACGTCGCAGGCTCCGTAGCGGCGCCTGTGGTGGAGCCTCCAGGGGGGTCGCTTTAGGGGATCGACGCTTGGAAGACGGGCCCTAGGGGAGATGGCTGGGGTCTTGTACCCTTCTGTGGATGCAGCGATGCAGCGAGGCATGGAGAAGATGCAAATTGCAGATCAGACAAAAACACCCATGCAAGACACGGTTGACGTCTATAAAAGAGGAGGCGATGGTAACTATCCAGATGCAGGACAAGCAAAAGAAAGAAAAGAAAGAAGCCATTTTCATCGCTACGCTAGCCTAAACATCGCCGATTTTGATTTCCCCCCCTTTTTTTTTCCAAAACCACCCAAACAAGGACTCCGTCGCACTGATATCCATCGCTACCTATGAAAGAAGAATAAAACAAGACACATCCCTCACATCACCCACATCAATCATATGCCTCCCACATATCCGTATCGCGCAATAAATACTACTGGGTTGGTTTGGCGCCCAGAATCCCTTCATCTCGTACTCTTTCAGCCAGCCGACTTCGACGTCACCATCCGGGCTGATCCAGCGCATTTTCCGGAAAGTTATCCAGCGAAATTCTCACCAAGCTCGTCACTTTTCTCGTGTCCCACGAAGCAGACATCCTCGGCGGTTCTATGTCTTCTCCCTGTGTCGCCGGTGGCGGGTTTTTGCACCTCTCCACCTCGCCATTTTCATCCCTGGTGGCCAGTCCGGGAAGATCCAGATTGTCATTGAAGGAAATCAGCAAGAAGCCTTGCCCCGTCGTGGCGATGAAAAAGTCCTTGTCCATGAAGATTCTGCGCCCGAAGCCATGGTCGGACATGTAGTCTTCAACCTCTATCTGCTGGCGCTGTATTGATTCACGAACCTTGTTGGTGTGAGGGCAACGAGTGGCGTCATCGCCGATGGGGACCGGTTGGAGCCACTCCAGGCCGTGAAAGTAACCTTGGCTAACGAGGTACTCGTCAAACCAACTAATGACAAGCTGGTCCTCCCATGCACACAAGTCAAAGTGCCTCGCCTGCGCGGGGTTCGGCCTCCGACGGCTCTCGTATTTGATATGAAGAAAAGTCTCGGTCAAGACGTTGAAGTGCACACAGAGCCAGTCGGTATATGGCTTGGAGATGTTTGGATGGTGTCCTCTATCCAGGACGAGCTGGACAATGCCAACCGCGTAGCCTCCGTAGTTGTCCATCTTCTGGACAGTGAGCGTCAGGCGCATTGCCGGGCACGAATACCGGGTTGTAGGATCACGGTGGTACTCTGGATGGGATATGGGTGACTCAAATCGTTTCACCGGCTTGCCACGTTCAAACTTGATGATGACGCCGACATGGATGAGAGGATCTACAATGCAAGGCAGTGGCACAACACACATGATTAGCTTAGCTCGAAGGAGTCTCAGAGAGTTGCTCGGTGGCGCTTACCGGGCTGCAAGGCTGAGTGCAGCCACGCTGCATAGATGATATCCGTGTCTGTCGGGTGAAACATGATGCCTGGTATGCCTCCCAAGTCGCTCTCCCAGCCATCTCGCCCGAAAAAGTGCTGTTCATGGTCAATGTCCAGCTCGTAGGCACTGTCGCTCCAACCCCACACAACGACATGGCCCTGCCTGGTGACAAACGCCACCGTGTCGCCCTGGGCGTAGCAATGGGCAAACTTGCCAGGGAGGACGACATTCTTGGACTGTCGAAACTGCAGGTGAAACACTGTTCTATAAAATGTGTCAGTGCAGGACGAGACAAGCAGACTGATAAGGAAACGGGGGAGAAAAGAACAAGAGCTGCAACTTACATGGTTTGCCCGTTATCAGTTGTTGTCTGGTGTCTACTCTGATGCTGAGGCATGCTTGTTGCCAGCACCACCAAGCTGTCCGTCACGGCCTGCAGCTGCAGTGGCCGTCCCGAGATGAAGTCCATGCCAAAGCTGAACCGCGATCTCTCCCGCGTGTACAGGTCATCAACGATAACGTGGCAGTTGTCCGGCTGCCACGCCAGCTTGCCGCTGCTGTAATTCACCGTCAGGGGCCCGAAGCCAAAGTTGACCTGGCGAAGATTGCCCAGCTGGCGACTTGGCGGCGGCGGCTCCGAGTTGGTGAAGATGTCGCTGCTCCAGCCCACGTCCCAGGCGACAAAGGCCCGCTTGACATAGAGCTTCCGCATGTACTGCTGTGCCGTGGCCCGAAACAGCTGGTTGCGATCCGGCACGTCGTTGTGGTAGAGCTCCAGCAGGCCCGGGAAGAAGCGGCTGCACAAGGCCGAGGCCACGGCGCCCTGCATCCAGGCCTCGCGCCAGTCCTTGCTCACCATGTAGCAGTTGAGCACATCCTGCAGGTCCAGATGGGGGATGATGTAGGCGAAGACCTCGGGGGGCAGCTCGCTGAGGCCGGCGAAGCCGTCGAGGCTGACGGAGCCGTCGATGAAGCGGTTCCGGATATGAAGCAGGTCCCAGGATGAGAGGCTGTCGAGGAGCGCATCGAGCGACTCTCTTCTGCGCACCGGTCCCCGGTCTCGCCGCGGAGGGCGGCTACTTGGCATTTGCGACGGCCTCATGCGCTGCGCCAGAGTTGGAGGCAAGGGCAACGGTTGAGGCGAAGGCGACTGTGGCGGCGAGGGGATCCAGGAGCAGTGAGAAAATGAGAGAAACAAAAGAAAAGGAAGAAAAGGCGCACTGGATATGAGCGGCTGAAGCCTCGCTCGGCTGCCGTCGATAGAGCCCGTATGGAGTCCAGTACAGGGCGTATACAGCAGGTTAGTGCTCGTACGAGAGGCCAGTCCAGTCGGCAGTAGCGCAGAAGCTGGGGAACGAGACGCTAGAGAGCGGTAGAACGGGGTGTCACGTGCAGGCATGCATTTCGGTGAGTGAGCTTGGCTCTATTACTGTGCTGCATCGTCTTGTCAAGGGTCTTTTAAGACTAGGGGAAGTGTGTTTCTTTTAATACATACAAGCCGAATCGGTTGGCTCTTTGATATGCCTACTACTGTGCCATACCTGTAATAGATGGGTGCCTATTAGAGCTATCCGTTGGTAGGACTGGACACTTACACCACGACTCCACTACGTTGGACGAACATACACACGCCCCAGAAAAGAAGACAGCCAGACAAACAACCAAGCCACTGCGCGAGACGGTCCAAATCGAACCATGCCATGCACGAGGAAGAGGGGCAGCCATCACGGGCATTCACTTTAAAAATCGAAGACAAGACACCGAGCGGCAGCGAAAGGCGGCTGCAAGTCCACTGCAAGTCCACTGCATGCATATACATACAAATATGTGCTCTATAAGACTATATGTAGGCATAACGGGAACTGCACCTGAATGACACACGTGGTCCCACCCCAGTGGCTCGGTTCCATGCCAAGATCAGATAAGTCGCCGCCCTTGCGTCTAATGCCTGTCTCTCGCCGGGGAACCGACGGAGTACTCGGGGTATTACATACTGTAGGCGTATCTCAATCTCGCCGGCTGTCAGTCAAGTCTCCTGTCCATCGTTTGTTCTCGATCGGCATCGCTGCCCTATCCCGGGGCCGTCGACGCCTCGTCTTTGGGTCTCAGCGAGTTGGGTCGCTGTGCCTGGACAGCGGCCCGGGTTGATCGCCAGGACAGGCAAGTACTGTAATAGGGCTGCTGTAGTATGTATTTCACTCTTGTGCTAGCAGCCGTGGTTCAAGCAATTACTCGCGTGCATGCACATACACTAGCTACCACTCCATGCTATTGCGCTGTATGGTGCCATACCTTATTATTCCCCGGCTTGCGTTGCTATCCCGGCACACAGGCAGGGCTGCCTTATCATATACGATAGATTGGCTGTCAGTTAAATAGGTATCAGGCATACGATGTATTCGTTTTGCGGAGAGACATCTGATGACATTCACGTGTAGCTACGCCGCTGATCGAGGCCATGTGGAGTACGGGGTAGTCGGATAGCGAAGCCTGTGGAATACCTAATGAGAAGGCGCCGCTATGCAGGTCTGCATGCATCCCGGACTGGGGACGGCCGGCTTCTAAAAGTACGGGCATACAGTCAGATGCAAGTAGTACTAGTAGGTAATACGTTGGTTGCATCTCCTCGGTGAGTTGTATATAGGTAGTCTCACACGCCTTAGGATCAAATGCCATGTTTGATAATACACGCCGGCAGTAACAGCACCGCCATTTATGATCAAGACGTGTATGCGTATGAAGTAACTGCATATATAGTAATCTTTTAGCAAATAGTAATGTCAGAATTAGACCATGTAGTGTTCTATAATAAAGATTAAAAGATGAAAGCAAAAGTTAAAAGTACGAGGAAAGAAAAAAAAAAGTCATACGATTGATCCCCCACGTTCTCCTCCGCCATGCTAGCAGTAGTGCTTTTTTTGTTCTTACTCCAGGCCTACGCTTCGTGCCGATCCCGTCTGCCTGTAATACTCTTCCATGCCTTTCCACCAGCTCTTAATCCCTGCGACGTCCAGCCACTCCAGCTCCCAGGGGTCCTCAAACCACCACCCCTTCTCGCCAGCATCTCTCTTCCCATCGCTAGCATACTTTTTCAAGCTACCGCCGTCAAAACGGTGGTTCTTCACGCCGACGAGCAACACCGCGCTGCCTACTTTCGGTGTGAAACCGTCCGGGTCCAGAAATACTGTCAGATGCACCTGTTTCGCGGTCGAAGGGTCGGCGAGGCGTGCTGTTCGCTGCTTTCCCGGCGGCAGATGCGAGGGCTCCACGGGTGAAAGGGAGGCGACGATGGCGAGCACGTTGACAGACCAGTTCTGTGCATAAGGGAGATGCGGGATTAGGCGCAGGGTTGTGAGCTTGAGGGGAACCTGGTGGTTATGCCAGTCTTTAGGCAGCGCAATGGGCTGCTGCTGCTGCTGCTGCTGCAACTTGTCGGTGTTAATGTCGCCTACTGCCGCCACCATCTCCCTTGCATCTGATGATGGTGTCTTGGGCGTGGTGCTAGTGGTAGCAGCAGTGCTGTTACCAGAACCAACATTTCGAAGGGGAAATGTGCGTGCTTCGAATGCTTCGAATGCGCCCTCCAGGTCCTCATCGTCATCATCGTCGTCATCAGCCCCGTTGTCGTCATTGTCAAAGTCGCGGATTGAATGTTCCGGCAACTTGAAGCTGACTTTGGCTTTTCCGTGCTGCTGTACTTTGACCTGCATATCCGTAGGGGTTCTGGTAGGGGTTCTGGTAGGAGTTCTGGTAGGAGCCCTGACTGACGGTGACTCTGGCAGACCCGCGAATCTGACGACATTGCTGCTCTTTTGCGCAGACGCCTTGGGGGTAACGTGTGCCTCGTCTGGCGCTGCCCCCTGGACTCGGTCTTCCTCCTCTTCCATGACTGCTGCCCCTTTGGTGCTGGCATCATCCGTGGCATTGTTGCTCTTCTCATGGTTTCGCCACAATGCCATGTACGTCTCATTCCATCCAGCAGTCTCCAGCTCGTTCACAATCAGATATGCCATGGCCTTTGCACCCTCTTTGTCTCTCTCCTGTCTCCTCTCCTCATCATCGTCCTCGTCGTCTTCCCCTTCTTCTGCAAAGACGCCACCCCCATCTGGCTCTTCCAGCCGCATCAGGAAGTCCCCCACCCTGACGCAGCATCCCACGAATACATCCCTCTTCTCTACCAGGTAAAACATGTCGGGATGCAACAATGCCTGAATACACAGCTCCCCGTCTCCCAGCACCAATCGGATAGCATGCGTGTCGTCCTCATCCGGCGATGCAGCCGCCACAGGCATCACGTCGATGGCCTCGACCATGAAAATGGAGCCCGGGATGCAGCGGCGAGTCTGAAGCATGGCGCCGATAAGAGGCTGGAGCGTGAATGGCTCGTGGCCCGGCGCTGGCGTTATGGCGGCAGGATTGAGGCGAGCCATCGTTGCATGGGATTCGTCCTTGCGGGCATCTTTGCACGCTGGATGCTGGCCTGCTAGTTGCTGCCGCGACCTGCGAGCGTCATTCCCCAGGCCCCGTCCAGAGCAGGGTTTCCCGGCAACGGCCAATGAAGGCAGCACGAACCACGGCCAGGAGGGCGTGATGGCGGGCAACGAGGAAGCGTTGAGCTGCGTTGAATCACAAGTGCGTGCATGAGAGGAGAGGCGCCAGCCTAGAGTGTCTTATGCATCTATTAGAGCTTGTTGTAAACCGGGGGCCGTGCTTCAGGCGCTAGAGCCGCTGTACCACGAGTGACGTCCCCCCATAAATATTGAAATAAACAGAAATGAACACTGCCCGTTGATCTCAAATATCTCGAGTCTCGCACTTGCTGTCTCTCATTTTCGCCCGCTGTTCGAATAAGAAAAAGAAAAAAATAAATCAAAATTAAAACTAAATTAAATTAAAACAAAACCAGAGCATCATGGAAGTGCCGCCCCCCGATATATTCGTCAGAGAAGTCGAGACTGCCATTGGCGCCCTCATCCAAGCCTCCAAGCTCAGCCAGCTCATCGTCTCGTCCACCGACAAGGGCACCATCACCAAGGACGACCTCAGCCCCGTAACCATCGCCGACTTCGCCGTTCAGGCTCTGCTGATCTCCTCATTCAAGGAAGCCTTCCCCAACGACACCTTTGTTGGCGAGGAAGACGCCGCCGACTTGCGGGCCAATGATGCGCTGATGTCTCGTGTTTGGGACCTTCTCAACACCATCGCCCAGGATGAACTCACCCAACAAGGCGCCTGTAAGCTGCCGCAGTCAAAGGCACACATGTGCGACTTGATCGACCAAGCCGGCTCGAGCAGCCCGGGAGGACCAGGATCCGGCAGAGTCTGGGTGTTTGATCCCATTGACGGCACCAAGACCTACGTCAGGGGCGAGCTGTATGCCATCAACATCGGCCTCATTGTTGACGGCAAGCAGGCATTCGGTGCTGTTGCATGTCCGAATCTGTCATTGCGGCACACCGGAGATCTCAAGAACGAAAGTGCTGATCCCAATGGCAATGGCTGCATCTTGCTTGCCATCAAAGGCCACGGCGCCTTTTACAGATACTTGGATGAGCACAACAAAGAGCTGAAGAGCAATCTTTTTTCGATACCATCCACTTTTGCAGGAAACCATACTGGCTTCGTCACATGTACCGGCCTCGTCGATTCGGCTCTCGACGGCGTCCACGACGTTGTTGCTCAGCGCCTGGGCCTCCGCTTTCCAGGCAGCGATATCGTCCCCTGGGTCGTGCGATGGGCTGCTCTGGCCCTCAGCATAGGCAGCGTCACTGTCTGGGTGTATAAGCGCCGTGATCGCTATGCAAAGGCCTGGGACCATGCGGGCGCCATGCTTCTCTTTGAAGAGACGGGCGGCAAGATTACCGATGTGCATGGCAAGGATATTGACTTATCGGCCGGGAGAAAGCTGAGCAACAACTTTGGATTTGTGGCTGCGCCTGCGGCGTTGCATTCCAAGGTGCTGGGCATTGTGCAAGATGTGCTCAAAGAACAGGGCCGAGATGAGTTTCTGCAGTAGCTGGCTGAGTTGCCTACGAGACAGCACAAAATAAAACAAAGAAAAAAAAGAGGAGGAAAGACTTGCTAAACTATAGTAGCATTGTATACATGTTAATCTATGAATATGGTGATTTAGGGACTGGATTATCCACAACCTGGACGAAAAGCTTGACACATAGCAGCATTATCATAAGTAAAATGAAGAATTCTTTACGCAGTATATACTCCATGGCTGACAGCATGATATCCCTTCTTTCCTACTTTCCCAACCAATTCGCTACGCCAGTCCTCTCCTCGGGAAATCCTCTCAATCGTCCGCGCAAATGTGTATTCCGGCTTCCAGCCGAGCTCTCGAACCGCCTTGCTTGAATCGTACACGCGATCCATTCGATTCAAATATTTCCATCCCTTCTCACGGAACACTGCTGCTGTTCCGGGCACAGCCCTGTTAATCACTTCCTCCGGGTTCTTATCCAGCGCAGCGAGAGTCTCCGCATCGTTTGAGAAAGGTGGCGGTGCACTGATGATGTATTTCGACCAGCCAATTTGCCTCGCCTTGCCCATTGCGCAAATAGTTGCCGAGACAATGTCCTTGATGTCGCAACGGCGGTACGCCATCTCCAAGACCTTCAAGTTGTCGTCTCCCATTGCGTTGCGTCGGTCTTCGTCGTCATCTTGCTCAGGGAAGAAGCGGCTTGTGCGAAGAACAAGAACAGGCAGGTTATGCTGTTTGTGGAAGAGATGGCAGATATCCTCAGCGGCGACTTTTGTCACGCCATATATGTTTTTGGGGATAGGAGTCACGTTCTCGTCTATCCACGCGGCTGGAGAGCCAGCCTTGGGGCTGAGGGCGCTCCCAAAGGCACTGGTTGTGCTGAAGAAGACGAAGCTTTCAAGTTGATCTGCAAGCTTAACTGCTTCTTCGAGGAGGACCAAAGTTCCTGCAATGTTTGTTTGCACAAAGTTGTCCTTGGTGTGGGACTCGACATGAGGCTTGTGCAGTGTTGCCGTGTGGAGAATGTGCCTGATGGGGTATTTTCGCAGGGTGTTGCTAATGAGTTCTTGGTCTATTATTGAGCCGACGCAAGTAGTTGTGGCAGAAGCCAGAATATCAATCCCAATTGGAGTAAATCCGAGCGACGGCAATGTTATCATTAGAGCATGGCCTAAATGACCCGAGGAGCCTGTGACAAGGACATCATATTGGGCCATGGTGATACGATGGCTTTGGCAACCTGTGAGAATTTCCAACGAATATGTAGCAGAAAAATGGTGAAGGTAACTGAAGCACAGCTAATATCAATTCAAATCAAATTCGATCCAAGTGGCAACCAGCCAATAAATAGGCCGTTCCGATTGGCATCGTCGTCGAGAGGCTGGAGCTAGGCTGGTGGGGTGCGCTTGGGGGAAACCGGTAAATGACTCTCAGCTCCGACGTTAGTCTAGAAAAGGAAAAAAAATGAAAGTCGGCGAAGAAGAAAAGGAAATAAAAAATTAAGGTTAAAAAAATTGAGATTGACCAGAGCGACTGGCGCTGCAGAGTTGCACTGTGGCAGTTGAGGTCCCATCTTGGCTAATACTCGAATCATCAGGCATAGCTGAGAAATACAATGGATCCGAAGCTTCACGTTTCGCGATGGCTGTTGCGTGTGCTCCCGCTGCTGATAACATGTTGAATATTTGGATGATAGTTTGACCCTTGTTGTCTCTGGTCCAACGAGCAACCAGGTGAGAGGAACGCTCGGCATGGTGGACTGAAAGTGAGTCAGACACTTTCTGAGGTTAGTGACACAAGTCTCGGAACATTTCTTGCCGCTGCAACAACACACTCTCACCCTTTATCGGTTCAGAGATACCGGCACCTCAGGGTAATAACCCCTTGCAATCCACTTTGACTTTGCTGGTCTTATCCTCCCATCATTGCCAAGTAGGACGGTCGATTAACTCGTTGGTTGGAACTAAAATAGCGTTAGATATGCCATAACAGACAGACAAGAGAGCATTGGCACATGGCCTTAGAGAATATTCAGAAAAGGTTATGAGGAGAAAGAATTGGAATCGAAATTGAAAAATATATATACAAATCTAGCCGTTTTCAACAAATTGGTATCTAAGCTTTCGCTCGCTCGCTCGCTCGCGCACATATCTTCTTCTAACGTTACACATTATGTGCAAACCTTGCGGAAATTTTATTTTTTTTGTTCTTAAAAAAAAAAAAAAAAATCAAGAAAGAAAATGAGGTGAAACTGCGTTGATGCTTTCTCAACCTCCATCGTCGCGGTTAAACGTAATCGTTGTTGGGGTGAGTTTGAGGCGCAGGCTGATATTCATAAGGCATTCCTGCCGCTCCGCTGTAGGAGGTTGACCCGTCCATGTTGCTGACCATGGGCTGTGTGTGTTCGGACTCGTGGCTCATTTTGTCCTCGCGAGATCCCCGGCGCATGGGGATGGGACCGTGCCTTTTGAAGAACACCGGGGCGTCGTGGCGGATATGCGTGAGGAAGAGAACAACGGCCCAGGCAATACAGAGCGTGGGCAGCAGCCATGGGGTGTTGAGATAGGCAGACAATTTGTCGTTGTTTAGGTTGAGCAGTGCAACGAGACCCATTCCCAGAGCTAAGAGGAAGATGATGATTGTACGAATCACAGGCCAGGGCTTCCAAGGAGTAACTCTGGCAACGACTGCCAGAAGGCACATGAGTCCTAGGCAGCACCCAGCGGCGATGTAGCCATAGGTGAACTGAAAAGTGTTAGTATAAATACAAAGTAGATCGTGTGTAGTGTAGCAACATACCACTAGGAAATAGCGATCCAAGGTCTCGTCGGTAACCTGTGATGCAAACTGGGCATTGGATGAGTTGTCCTCAACGCCAGTTTCTTCGTTTTCTTTGCTAATCTCTCCTTCGAGATCAATTTCAAAAGTTTGGAATATGCTGTTGTACATTGCAGTCTGGAGAGACTCCATAATGTTGTAAAACAGATTTGTGTTGGTATCGTTTGGTAGATTATAGTCTGCCACAAGCCAGTACTTTGACAGCTTAGGCCAAAAGGCATTAGGAATCCTAGTTATGTTGGCCAGTGCATCGTTAATGAGTTCATCTGTATCTGAGTATTCAGGGTGGTAAAGTTCGAAAAATTCGCTAAGCTCTTCCGTTATGTTCTTCTGCACCTCGACACTAGTGGTATCAGCAAGTGCTTTTGGATCATCGACTATCCAGTTGAATGATAAGTGGTTAATGACATCTATCACTTTGGACCACTGAATAAACTGAGTGAATCCCTGCATGAACAGGACGAGCGCGAGATGGAACGGGAAATGAAGCAGCGTCCATAGTACTTGGCGCAAAGGAGGAAGATAGGCTGTTTTCATCCAATCGTAGTAGATCAAGAACAGCATGTAAGTCGTTGCCACGCCAGCAGTCAGGATTCCAATAACAGTAGCATCTGGTTCAAGAGGGAATTTTGTCAGTCTTCCTTTATGACGTGTAAGAGATACATCAAAAGTACTTACCCCAGGCATCGGGACCTTCGACAATAATGACCACTTTTTCAGCCAGAGCAACGATGCTTTCGCCGAGAATGACAATCGTCAAAAGGCTCATACGATTCATCAAGTGAGTCTTTGCAAGGCTGAGAATAGAGAACCCAATCGATAACCCAAGTGTTGAAACGACCTCCAAGGCACCAACGATATACCACGTAATGAATACCCGGCTCTCTTTGTCTTCGCTGAAGCGGAATGTAATGCCGAGATATATCATTGCTGCGATAAAATGGATGGACATCTGGATATAGAATGGGATGTGGACGGTCTTGAATTTTCTCACATGCCATAAGATGCTAGCGTACTCAACGGTCAAACTCAGCCTAGAGGCCATTAGAATGATGGCTATTAAGAAGAAACGTTAGTATGTTGCCAGCACCCCATGAGATTGTAAGAAACCTACACATTGCCTTCATTGAAGACAGGTCTTGGTCATTTGGATTGAATTTCGGAGCGACGACTGCGAATCCCACAAAGACTCCAAGGTGAACAGCTCGGACAAGTCGTTCTATACAAGGTAGTTAGGACATGACGCTGCATCCAGTATAATCATTAGGGTACAGTAACAACATACCAAATATGCTGTCCGTCACGAATCTAACATCGTAAAGTCCAACGACAAGCCAGGTCATCCACAGCATACTATACGAAACAGATTAGTAAGTCTGCATCGTTACCCCATTTTACGGTTGTTCTTCATAGCGCACCAAAAGTATCCAGCGTAAGATCCGAGTCGGTCGATACTGGTGACTGCCAACTCCTTCGAAAAGACGACGTAGTTGGCGGCGAAAAAAAGGTCCGTGAATACCTCCAGCATACCTGCCTCTTCATGCTACACGCAGGAAATTATTATTAGAATCGAAACCCAACTCTGGAATAATCTTTGCGCCGTAGTCAAAGACTCACTCTCTCAAACTGTATGGAGGGATCACTAAAGCGATCCCCAAATTCGCTGAGATTCGGTAGCTCATGTCCTCTCTCAGAGCCGCCATCGATAAGCGGGCTCTTCATGAGCCGGAGCTTCTCGCGAGGAGTAAGCTCGAGACTTTCTCTCTCCACCATTTTAGCTGGTGAATTTAGTACCGGTAAATGATATACGATTTAGTTATCAACGGAGAGGCAGGAATGCTAAAAGTAAGGGTTAATGGCGGCAGCTTATGGTATTAATACCTTGGCTATCATAGCCGGGCGCCGCCCTCCTTAGGCGTTCAGCCTTACTAGGAATTCGATTGGCGTGTTAGAAGAAGCAAAGCTATGTTATGTCGGGTGTGATGTGCCGGCCCTTGGGTCGTCAGCACAGAGCCTCGGGAAATTAAAGACATGCTGCGGAGCAGCAGTCCTTGTACAGCGACTCCCTTCATTCTTGATCTCCCGCATATGCATAGCTTCTGGCGGCACCACTCCCTAGGCTGAAGTGGACATGGTGGAGCTTAAGATTGCGCATAGCCTGGTGCAAAAATAGGTACAGAGCGGCACTAACTCCCAGAACTTTGTGCCAATCAATTCCTAGACTTCCCTTGTCTGTGTCCGTTATCGAATCTGTGCGGCCCTTACAGCCAGGGCCCTGCACATACTAGTACTGCGTAGCTAGCACCTGATTACTGGGGCAGTTCATCTCATGTTTGAAATGGTTTGAAGAAAAGAGAGACGAGTCAAAAAGGCGATCGGGGCTGAGCAGTATAACGGGCATGGAGATCTGGGATAGATCTTAGATGCAGAGCACTGGGGGAAAGGCGCGAAATCAATATGATAGTGGCTTGGCTTCTAGAGAACAGACATTCTCATCCAACAAATCAGATTTGACAAAATAGTTCTACAAGAGTAGAACTTGTGCATCTTCATATGAAGCTGCAAAGTTCTTGTAAAGGTATAGCGAGGCTCTAATCAGAAACCGTGGCGTTTATTCGTTGCTCTCTCTTTCTTCTTGTAACTTCGCCGATTTTAAAACACGATTAGTGTCGTTTGCGATATGCGAACCACACTGGCAAGGCAGAGCCCTCTTCTTGCCAAACCGGTTTACTTCTTCAGGCATAAGCCGCTGGAAAATCTCGTCGCTTAATCTCGTCGTGTCACTTTTGGCGTCCACGCGAGCATGGCCATGGGGCTGGGGCCTGTCGCTAGTGCTTACGCACCTGCACGACGTTTTTGGCGTGAACTTGAGGCTGAGACCACCAACTTGGACGATCGTCCCAACAATCTGGAGACGCTTCTTCACTGAAGCCAACACTCCCATGCGCCTGTCCTTTCGTAACCTTGGACAAGTTCCACAAATATGACAATCATCGTTAATGTTTGTTCTCAACTTTTGTATATAACCGTTTCTTCTTGCCTTACAGCGACTGCGAATGCCAGATGAGGCTGGTTAGTAATACTAAGCAGTAGCTCACTTTGCTCAAGTGGGACTTGTTTTCGGCGTCTACTTGAGAGTTGCGAGGGACCAGGGTCACAACCAGCCTTCAAGAATTATAATTGAACTAGATGATCTAGACCAAACAATTAATGAAATTGATTATACTACTTTAGTGGCCTATCAAGAAAGAGAAAGAAAAATCATCAAGGCGCTATCTGGGTGAAGCCTTGGCTTGAAGGATTGTACGAGATTGTTACTAGAGTCTGAAGCTAACAATATCCAAGTTAGAATGGATGAGACTTTGTGTTTCTGCCTGTAAATGCGCAGAAACTTTCATGCAATTATAGAAGTTCAATAGCCCGTCATATTAACGATGCCTGTAAGCATATACTCGACTCAACCTTATGTTGCTGGCACTGCCGTCATGAATCATGCCTCTAAGTTGACAAACAGATCGCTTCGCCCAACGGTGGAGAATCTGTATTGCGAAAGATTATTAATCTAAAAAGAGAGTCGAGAACATGACGCCAAAGATGCATTTTTTATTTCTATTCTTGGATACCGGTCTAAGCGGCTGGCCAATCGAAATGAGATAAGAGCCCTGTAAGCGTAAACTTAGCGCAGTAGTCTAAGAGTCAGCTAAAAATCATGATGCCTCATGTCGATCGAGAAGACTAATCCATAATTCTGCCATGACAAATTTCTGTGCTTATCACCATCGATCAGCCGCTCGTTGGCAACAGTAAACAGCAGGCCATTAACCTTGCCAATTATTTCTGTGTGTTTGTCTTGCCGAGCATTGTTATTGAACTCCTATGAAACACTCATGTGAGCGCGCTACATTGATCGGCTGAAGTTGAAGGATGGATCAACATACAACGAAAAATCAACGGATTGTTTGAAAGCAAGTCAGCTTCTGACTGATACGCTTTCTGTACTATGTACGTATTGGGTAAACATTTCCATGTTGAGAAGCCTTGACATCTTACCGCAAAATGACATATTCTTCGGCAATCTAATATAAAACCTTAACCAAATTTGGGTTACGCTGTCCACACATGGAGTAAGCTGCGGACCCAATATCGTGTGAGGATTCTTGCAAAACAGCTAATTGATAGTTTCACCTCGTGTCATGGATTAACATTGCCAAGAAAAAAAAATACTAATGAAGCTTGTTTGGAAAGCCTGCTTTGCTGCTAGAGTAACTCCTCAAAATGGCGATTTATTATGCGCTACATTTCGTATTATGTTAGCTTTCAGGAGAGAGACGGCTTCAATAATTTGAGTGAAGTATGAGAGTTAGAAATAACGGCAAGACCTTAAATATATCGCCCATTGATTCTTTTGTAGCTTCTATCATACCTTTAGAAGACTTTAAAAAAAAAAAATAGTCTACGGCCCTTCCCCCGTCATAAAACTGTAGAGATTAATGTAAGGCCAAAAGACTCTGCCTTTTACTTCTTAAAATAAAGGCGTGTGCCCTTGATCGCTATTATGCCTTACGCTAATTGAGCATCAAGTCCACTAATCACCAGCAGTACTAGAAAGATGGTCTTGGCGGTGTCACACCTATTGATATAATTAAACAATAATGCTTTTGTACACCAAACACTTGCGTAGCACGCTTTTTAGACTCTAACCGTAAGCACTCGTGGTTCAGCTGGCTCAATCTTGCCGCATCTGGCTAAAGGTTGTGAGCAAGGCAAGTTAGTGTACATCTCTTCCATTCCCCCTTTCTGTCCTTCGTGAAGTATGTGTTTCAATTCTCTTTACATGGGTGTACAATACGTAGAATAATCTGATCTGCCAGCTGTTTTCTCTTTAAAGGGTTTATGGAGTAATTAATGTGATGGGGTGATCATAGTAATACGATGTGCTTGCTTTGATGTGGCTGTACTGTAGTGAAACTGAGAGATCATTAAACTGTGACTTGTCTGACGTTGGGTCTAGTTAGGATGATCCTGCAGAATGGATTTATTGTTTTGAATGATAACCATGCAAGATAACGATTTTAGGTTAGGTCGTGGAGTTAGTAGTCGATAGTTTTTCGTTTATCGTATAAGCTGAGGACAATTTCCCGTTCATCGTTTACTAGATAGGAGAATCCTCGTTTGCCTTACAGGTACGTCGAAATTCTTCCTTCTCCATCTCACTCATGCATATGCTTCTATCGCTCGCCCTATTCTTCCATATTACCGCTATTCATTCCATAAGCATATTTAATTATATATCCATGGTAAATAAGGGTTTCGTAATTTTTTAAAAATTGATTCGGTTTGTATCTAGGCAGATGTTGATCTTGCTATTTCCGCCAACTTGAGTAGAAACTTGATCACTGCCGTCAATGTACACTACAAAGAATATGCTCTTTCTCCTGTCATTCCGCTAGAGAGCAATTTATCGTGTACATTTATCATTTTGTCGAATCGTTTTCTCCTTTCGCCCTTTCGCCCTTTCGCCATTTGTCCTCTACCCTTCTGGCATCCAATCTCTTAATTTAAGCGAATTGAATCGTTGAGAAACAATTCGACGAGATGCAAACTGGTTCCAATAACGCTAAACTTTGAGATTTTACGATGCAGTCAGCAAGAACGAATTGAATCGGATTTAGAGCTAATGGTTCGTTTGGGGCCATCGCCATGCCCACAAGTGAGCCTGCCATGCTTCTCTGAGAGAGACACTCAATAAAGGTAACTGGGTTTGTGTTAGAAAACAGCTCTTTACTCTCTCTGTACATTTTGAGCTATTGTTACGGTGCCAATAATATACAGAAAGATGGTTGCACCCTCTGCCGGTCACATCCAGGCTCACAGAGTAAACAGTGAAAGAAAGGACGTCATGAAATCTGGCGCTTGACATTCCAAACAGGCCACTTCAATCTCAATTTTTGTTTAGTCGCTATCGAATTGAATATTAGAGTGAGGTAGCGTGATTAAGAGACACCATCGCCGCTCTTCATTAAATCCCCTCATCCCTGGTATATTTACGCCTGCAGCTTGAGCTCGGAATCGTAAATTCGGGTGGCATTTTTCTTTTTTAACCGAATAATGAGATTTTCCTATCCACCTCACCAAGATATATATCGGTCGGCCAGTAAACCTGATATGCAAAAGGTTACAGCCTACGAAAGGGAATCCGAGGTGTGTTATTTAAATTTAATAAGATGGCATTATTTTCCATTACAAATATTAAGTTTTCAGTAACAATCTACACTGACAAGTATGAATCAGAATGATTACAAAGCTGCAAGTTGCATCCATTATATCCAAGTGGAATATATTCACATGCCACTCTAGATTGCTCACAATGTGAAACAAAATATCATATTTTGATAGACTTACAGAGGAACAGTCACAATCAGATGTGTTCGGATAGTAGAACTGTGGTATATGGATATTTCGGGGCTCCTTAATTCGTAGGAGCCGTTGACGTGTCTATAAACCTCTAGGGTACACTTGCCTATACATTGTAGAGCTGAGTGCTGTGAGGAAGCATATCAAACTTATCTCCATATCCTTTGCGTATGCTGGGCCCTCTTTGGAAGCTTATGTCCACCATGAATAATAACGACGCATAATGCATAGGTTTTATTCTGAGAAAAGGTAAGCAGTGTGCTAAGTATTTTCTATGAATAATTGATAAAAAAAGAAGCGTGGTGAATATGCTTCTAAAATATAGAGCAAGGGTAGTGCGTATAAGCCACCTACCCGACGACTTTAACGGGAACGCTGCAGCTTCATTAATAAGTCTCTCTCTCTCTCTATTTCTTTTTTTCTTTCATTTTTTTTTATTTTTATTTTTTTATTTTGTGAGTCATCAGTAGTATATAGAATGGTTCAATAATTGATGCGTTTGAGAGAAAATTAAAATAAAATGGTAGAGTGAGAATCGCGCCGTCAATGATCGTGGATGTCTTCAGCGGTTGATAGTAAACAAATAGCCAGTAAATAGAAGTAGATCATGGAGCTTTTGCACCATTTAGGTAATAGATTCAATATTGCAACTAGTAGCGCAGTGATAATACCTTTATACTCGTACAATATAGTAGAGATGGTCTCGATGGCTAGATCTCAGACATCTCGGTCCAATTCCGGATATACGCTAACAAGTCTCCATTTCTTACTCTGTACTGCCATTTGAGGAGATGGTATGACTAGAGATATTGCTCCGTATATTAGTCTGTCACCTTGACTATACAATGGGCCTACTGAGTTAAGGTGAGCATGTGGACTGAATCACTAGTGTCTCACGGAACATGGTATGGCATATTCAAAGACTATGAGACGAAGTACTCTAAACACCCTGTTACTTCGCAAAAAGTGGAATTTCTCCATAAGAATGCTTTAGTGCAATAACGTTGCTGTATCGTTATACTGCATTGTTAATGTTTGGAGAGTTCTGCTGGCTAGTTTTACAAGGTAATGCGGTGCCATGATCTCTGGTAATAGTCGAAGTGGGATGATAGACATGACATGGTTTTGTAGTCTGTAAGTGGCGGTGGGTTATGTAGGTTCGTTTAAGGTCGTCCATGCTAAGGCGGGGCGTTTCGTGGTCCAAGCTCTTATTCTTGGCGTATGAACTTCCTTTTTAGTCGAATAAAGTATTCTGGAAATTGAAAAGCAAGAAGGGACAATTTGATGCACGCCGCATACCTAGCAATATACCTACTCGTGAGCTTATATTTGTCTGTCCTGGGTCACACAAAAGGACTTTAGTGTAGTTGCGAATCGCTCCGATCCCTGTGATGGATAGGTGACGGAATATTACACGGTTCCATTTAGTATTGTATTTGGCCAGGATTTTAATCCTGCTCTAAAAAGTCGATGCCAGTGTCAGCTGTCCAGGGCAAACGATGAAGTATTATAGGCATACGGAAATGCTTCCGGAAATGAGTAGTGACTTGTCCTAGGGCTGCGACTTGCTGATCCGGTTGACGATGCCGGGCACACCTACCAGTATATACTCCGTACTCCGAGGATACGACGAGTATTGGTGGACTATTCTGAGAGTACTACTGGCCCACATCAGCTTTATAGCTATTGAATGGCGGCATCAGTATTTACCGGAGAATAAATAGTACGCAAAGTTAACAGAGTTTGCAAATATGCCATGCTTAGACTCATATCATTGGTAACTTTGAGGCAAGGGGAGATTTTCCGAAAAAAATCGTTAGTACAAGGAGAAGAGAAGCATTAGTCCGCCACAAAATTCACGCACGGCAAGGTCAGCTTATATGTAATATAACTCTTTCCTCTCTCCATAAAGGATCACCGGCTCTATAAACACAGCATATTCATAACCACCGCTTGTCTCTCGAGCTTCAAATTGACATTCGGTGTGGCGGGATTATTAATCGCGTCGACGTGTAATGTAAGCGCGCCGTCCCTTGCCGCTGCGACTTGCCGCTTTTGACAAGGCCATTATGGACGTTCAGTAATATGAAAAGTGATTGAGATTCGGGGGGTGCTTGATGCTTCTACGATGGGCGGAAATCTCCAAGAATTTTGTATCTGAATGTTCAACTTGAATATCAGATAATGAGATTCGTTTTTCGCTCTCTGTATTTGGCCCTCTTCTAAATACGTATAACCCCAAGCTGATTGTTGTAAAAATTGCCAAAACTACTTTCCGTGTTTGCGCTGGGACCTCCCTCCTTATTTCGTAACAAAAGTGCCGATAACCCTTTTTTCAGTTGTGCCGAGGACTCATCCGATGCACTCCACATGGCGCTGAACTACCAGGTATTGCCCGCGGCCCCTTTGTTTGATCTAGACAAATCGGACTATCGTTAGAAGCAGATATTATGTTAGATCTACCGCCCTATTTATCCTTGTTGCTTGATAGACAACTAGATGTTGGGAAACTGTAGGACTATCGCCAACTTAGTAGTAAAGCTAAACTCTACATTTACGCTTCGCGAACGTTATAGGAAACTAGTACCTCTCTCCACTGAACGCAGAACACCGCGTATGGGTTTCTACGTCGGAACGCTAGCACTACTGACAAGCCCGCTAGTTGGAATGGTTAAGCCTAGGGCTTACACCGTCATTCCCTTTGCGGAACGGCCCAAGACAATATGTGGTGTCCCTGTAGATCACTTTAACTTGCCTCTATACTAATACACAATGCAGCCGAGTAAGAAAGTAGACTCTATTATGGAGTAGAGTTGCACTGATGAGCCCAGGTCCGAAGAACTGGGTATGCCAAGAGGCCCAGGTTGCCAAGGAGAGCTCAGGCTCCTAGTGCTCAAGTAAGAGCGATGACAGGGCAATGCTTCAGGGGATATCGAATGTCAAGCAACGACGCCTACTAAGTGGTCCTCTTGGTGCTTCCTACCTTGGGGCCAAGGAGTATACCGAACAAATAGTAAATAAAATATCCCAATTTTGACACTTATACAAACAGAAGCTTGTATTTGTTTCTATTAACGTATATATTACCTGTTTTTGTTCTTAGAAGATGAAGTCTAAGGGCGGCAGTAGACCACCACGGATAGTTGATACAGTATGCCCAACATGACAACAGTTCCGGGATGGAACATCAGATACGGGTAGAATCATGCTTACATAGAAACTAGTGCCGTAACGAGGTTGCAAGAACCTTGCTCGTATCCATATCTGTCAAAGCCTTGCACGGAGTGGCAAGGGGAGAGTTTCTCCATAGCTGATGATGCAAGGGAATTGCCAATGTTCAGGTACTAGTATAAAGAGAGTCGCTGATCTTTGCTTGTTTTCTTTCATCAGAGAAAAGAAGCAAGTAGCAGAAACAATAGCCAAGCTCATTCACTCTCATCTCAGAGCAAAATGCATTTGTCCTCAACAGTCCTGATGGCTGCCGCTGGAGCGGTGGCCCAATCAACTGTTGATCTCTCCAATCTCCCGGCTTTCTTGAAGTCTAGCTCAAGTACCAACTGGCCAACCCTTCTGGCCATTGGCCAGCAGATCTGGAACGACCCAGAAGTTGGCCTCAACGAAACTCACGCACATGGCCGCATCGTCAACTACTTTTCTTCACTACCAGGCTGGACGGTGTCAGGATCGGCTTACACTGGTCTCCCTACAGCTTTCCGAGCCGAGTTCGATAACCGGCCGTCTGGTTTCACAGGCACTCTGCCAACTGTTGGGTTCTTGGCCGAGTTTGATGCTCTGGTGGGCATAGGCCATGCCTGTGGTCACAATCTCATTGCTCTCAATGGCATCTCAGCAGCCAAGTTTGCTAGCGATGCTCTGGTACACTACAACATCCCTGGCCGCGTGATCCTTGTCGGGACTCCCGACGAGGAGAACGCGGCAGGCAAGTTCAAGCTCAACAACTTGGACGCTTTTGCTGATTCAGATGTCTGGCTGATGGCACATCCTACTACGACGAGCGCTATTCAGCCGATGAACGCCCGCCTCAACTACTTTGCCACCTTCATTGGCAGCACACACTCCGAGGCTGTTGGAAAGGCCTACAACGCAATGAGTATTGTACAGAATCTGACTGGCCTGCCGGGAACCAGTTCAAGCGCCATTAGCATTGAGAACGTTGGTGTCTACGCGACCAACATTGTGCAGACCGCTATCGACCTTGGCGTGGCCGGCCTGAGTCTCGCGACAGTTAATAGCACTGTTGCCAGCATCCTCGATTCGAGTTATCCCAACGTCACCTTCGAAGCTACCACTGATGCCAACGGTGTAGCAATTACGATGAATGGCCCCGGAGGCCATGCTTCAGAGGCGAGCAAAGGTCCCTTGACGCTGTCAATTAACACATACAACGCCCTCAAGAACACGCCTGGAGTCTCCTTTTACCTGCCCAGCAACACCTCTATCAATGAGCTCGATATTACGATTGACATGCGCACCCGCTACACCAGCGACTTGAACTCCGTGGCCAACTTCGTCAGCGCTGCTCTCGGCACTCTTCCCAAGAGCATCTCCCACGATGTCCAGTATCCATCTCTGGAAGTGGATCCATACCTCGGACAGGCTTTTATCGACTTGACTCAGACCGCTGATTATCCATTGGCCAAGTTTAACTTCAGTACATTTGCTCCCGCCTCCACAGATGCCTCGTGGGTGCAGGACCCTGTGCTCGATCCTGTCACACGCAACTTGACCAGCGCGGCCAAGGCGGTGCTCCACGCAAACTACGGCATCTGCCCCAATCTGTCCGGAGCCGGTTGCGCGTTTAACCATGAGCCGCTGTTCAAGGCCCTGGCCAACACGGATTTGGCATACTCTCAGACCGAGATCGTGGCTAGGGCAGAGGCTCAGATTGCTGTCCAGCTGCTGGCTGATCCGTCTGAAATGAGTAAAGCGACTGCCATTCTGTCGAAATAGACAGAATGGGAGAGGAGACATAAAAGATATGCCGCTCCAAGGGATTTGGTGTGGAATGAGGACGAAAAGACTTAGTTACAAAGCGGATGATATCATGTAATGTAGTACCTAATAGATGAGAAAGACACTGAGACAAATAGAGAACCACTATGCGTGTGGTTAAGCAGATTCGCACTTTTTTTCCCCATTGTGAAATCAACCTCAACCTAACCTACCAGGCTCCGGTACATTGTTTAATAATTCAAAAGAGAAAAACAGGGATTTGGGGATGAAGCATTGCCGCTACTCGGCTGGTGTCTCCTATATCGCCATCAGCGAATCACACCTCAACATAAGAACGTGTCCTATTAATGGATTCTGATCACTTCTTCTCTTCTCTTCCTATATAACTTAATACCGCTGATAAGAATCTCGAGACGCTGCTGCTTAAACATCCATTCTCTTTATCTATTAGTGCTAGGCTGGCCGTGATAAGGCTAGCTAGTGGTGGCGCTTCAACAATAGTTCTATTGTGTGTTGGTGTAGTGTAGTTGCTTAAAATGGCCAGTTAGACGAAAGTAGGAGAAATTATGCATCATTTCCCACAGTTTGACGGCGTCATAACTGTCAAACTGTCGGCCAGGCGGAACTTCTTTAAGTCGTGGTTTTACGTCTACACGTGTTGGGCGCGTATCGAACCATTTATGCAGCTCTCCTGTATCTACCTCGTGTCAAACCTTGAATCAAGGAATGAGTACATCACATCCTTCGCCGGCTGTCTTGCCGAACAAAGTCCTATTAGTAATGCTACGAGAGGTTCTGCATGCATCACAGCTGCGGCGAATCCTCTAGTGTGACTGGCTGCAGAAGCAAGAGACCTGACGAGGGCCGACACGTTGCAGCGTTGCACGCAGTGTGGATGCAGATCTGTGAGTTTGCGTGTGGTATCGGAGAATGCCCTGCAGAGGGGCAATAGCTGAGCCTAAATGCGATGACTGGTTACATTCTATTACTTCCATGCCTACGTATATGTGGCGTTCTGCGTCGTGATTGTCAGCTTTGATGGGCTGAACCCAAGCGCCTCAGTCGGCATCGGTAGATCGCGCGGCAACTTAGAATAAGCTGGACCTCTAGCATCTCCCCCTATTTTAGTCGCCGAGAACTACGTCTGCTGGACAGCAAGGGCCCAGAAAACAAATCCACGAAAATCCGCCTACACTGGAGCGAATGCACGACCACGGGACGGGAGGGACCTTAGAGTCTTAGTCTGTGGAAAACTCGTCGATGCCGCGGAAAACAACGACAATGCGGAGCAAGGCTCCTTGCTACCTGTAACTAGATTGCACTATGGAGAAGCTAATAGCATTGCCAGCCAACAATAAGCGGAGAAGCCTTTGTCTCTGCTCCACCAGTCCATGTCATAGTCCCCGTCTCCAGCGCCTGATCCCTCCCTCGCGTATGCTCCTGATTCACCTTCAACTTGTTCGTCTTCTTCTAGATGGCCTAGCGTTGCCTTGCATATGTAGGAAGAGTGGCCTAAACGACCGACTGTTGGCCGACTCGATCTGATAAATGATACGCGCATACGGATGGTAGTTTCGGGCGTCCACATCTTCTAAGCGACGGCAGAGCTGAAGGAAGCAAGCAAGCAGGGGCGCACCCGCTGTGTTTATTAGCTCGTCGAATCGTTCATTTAGGCAAGGCGCCCGCGAAATTTCTACTGGCAGACAAAGAGACGCATGATTGTGCGACAAAGCAGACGCGGCTGCGAGTAACTGCATGTGCTTACTCAATCGTTTGCTCATTCGCATAACGAGAAGGGCCATTGGTGGATCTACAAGCTACTGGACCATGGAGCTATAACATCCGGCTTAATCATCTGCAACGAAGCTTTCTCCAAGCACCGTGCTCTCCTGCAATTGAGTCTGCTACAATTAACTGAAGAACCAAATCGGGAACCAAGGGGAAGGGCAGAGAGAAGAAGAAAGGACAAAGAGAAAATTTTGAAAAGACGACAAAGGAACTAGAAGAACTGGGGTCAGTACTTTAAAAAGGCGCACATACTGCATCTTTTTGCAGCCGAGCAAGCATGGCAAAGTCGCCCAAATCTCCAAAGTCGCCTGTCTCTCCCGGGCAGGGAGCATCAGGCGAGGGCAGTCAGCAACAGCAAGAAGCCCCGTCAGAAGGCATCCTCCCAGCTGCGCACTGGCAAGAGGTTGGTGCATTTCAAATCCTTTGGCAGCATCTGCTTTCGCGCGCCACAGAGAAATACTCACGCAAATAGGTTGCCCAACAAGAAGGCGACGATGATTACGATGATGATAGCGACTCAGCCCTTGGTTCTGATGCGGGAAGCTCAACCGCGTCGATAACTTCGACTATCCTGCAATATAGAGAGATCAATGGACGCAGGTTTCACAGCGAAATGGGCTCTGTTCAATATTGGTGAGTCCCTCGCCAGTTGAGTAGCGACTTGAAGCAGCAAACTGATATCAGCAACAGGCAATCCAACGACGAAGCGGCGAGCGAATCATTAGATATAAAGTAAGTTTAGCGACCCAAAATTTTTTTTATTTAGACTAGTTAACTGGGGCCCTGTAGTCATCATGCCATTTGCATGGCAATGGGAGATAAGCTATATTTGGCTCCTTTAGAGAAAGAAAAGATTAAAGTCAGTGCTCTCCAATGATTCAGTATACTCCTTGGAGCGTTATTCGCATGATGAAACTGACGCCGTAAATCTTGCAACTAGAGAGTACTTGATATAGGCACTGGTACAGGTTAGTACTCACTCCCAATCTGTTTCGTCTTATATTTTTGTGAAGCTGACTTCTCTTTTAACTCAGGAATATGGGCCATGTGAGCAGTTGGAGCCCTGCGTCTTAATATCAGCACAATAAGTACTGACGCCTTATAGTGACTTTGCCGATGAATATCCTGATGCTCAGGTCATTGGCACAGATATCTCTCCAATCCAGCCCACTTGGGTGCCTCCGAACCTCCAGTTGTGAGTTTATTACCAGAAATGGATATTTGTTTTTGCCAGAGGGGGTGTGCTTTATCATCGGCTTGCTAATTCGGCGAATGGAAATAGCGAAATCGAAGACTGTACTCAAGACTGGACGTTTCGCAGCGAGGACTTTGATTATGTCCACATTCGATGGCTTCTGGGCAGCATTCAGGACTGGGACGAATTGATGCAGCAAGCATATCGCGTGCTGCGTCCGGGAGCGTATTTTGAGATTTTGGAGCCATCAGCCATTATTACAAGTGATGATGGGACCGTGACGGAGACAAGCGCTCTAGGACAATGGGGCAAGTTCTTCATTAACGGCGGTAAACAGATTGGAAGGAGTTTTACCGTGGTTGAAGATGAGACGCAGAGAAGGTCGATGGAGGCAGCTGGTTTCGTCGACATTCAGGAATTTAACTATAAGGTAAGCTTATGGCTTCGAAGCGACACGACTCTTTTTTGTGTGCCGCAAAGCAGTGCAAAACGAGTCAATCTAACAATATTTGTTCTACAGATGCCAATAGGAGGCTGGGCCAGAGACCCGAAAATGAAGGAACTCGGCCAGTTTGCGCAACTGGTCATTGAAAAAGACACCGAGGGCTACATTGTCTTCATGGCAAATACGCTGGGATGGACACGAGAAGAAATCTTGGTATACATCAGCCTGCTGCGACGGGAAATTCGGTCGAACAACTATCACGCGTATTATAAATTCAAAGCGGTTTACGGAAGGAAGCCGCTCAATTAAGAGAAACTGATACTTTTTTTCTCTTTCATGCTAATTTCTTTATTATAAAAACGGATGTTCTTTAATGAGCTTTACAAGTTGGTGCTGCACTATCTGATTTCATGCGCACGGGCTAGATGTTACTAAGAATGTATCAGCACGTCTTGACTTTTTGCACAAATTGCTGGCGCTTGAGCGTGTTTTTTTTGGTCCTGATAACACATACAGGGTGGTATTTTTGTATTCGCAAGCCACCTTCGTTGGAAGTAAGGCACAGTATGACGGCAAGTCTCTTTAAGCGAGACATTGCTAAGTGCCAGCGGATAGATAGTAACGTAGTATTCGGGAATTAATATATAAATGGAAGCTAATCCTTGAATCTATAGGAACATTGTTGCCCTCTTATTGACAAAATACTAACTATAATGATGCATGGGGCATGACTCTATTTCCTCATTGATTCTACTCCGACGTAGCAAAACAGTAGCCAAACCCATCATCACAAGGTCCCACATCGGCCAGTCAATTACTGCTGAAGCACCCTTTTCCATTTCTATTCAGTATGACTACGACCAATGATAATACAGACGATGATACTAATCTTCAAGTTTGTAATTTCATGCGGGTGCAGGGAGTCTTGGAATGCCTCTCACTAGTAGTTCAATGACAATGTGTCTGAACTATTTGGACTGACAACCTAATATAATTTCTAGGAAGTCTGGGGTATGATGTAGCTCGTTGTGGAGGATATTGGAATGTCGTTGGAGGCATATTGGCCATGTTGAATTGTGGGCAAGATATACTTCGAAGTAATGGGCCCATAAGTAGGTATTAGTTAGAACTTACGCCTGTTCACCAGCCCAACTGCACGCTCAACCTTTATTTTCTCATACATGCCTTCTTTATTTTTCTACTTTGACTCTCAATTCGGCTATTTCTTTCATAAATTAGTATATAACTATGGAGCAAACTTATTGTGTCATTGTCAGCGAGAACCACATACAACGCCAGCCCACGGGCCCGGCTGAGGCTTAGGCCGTTAGCCTACCAGCAAGAGCCAACGGCATTTATCTGCGCAGACTCGAACATGGAACAGAATGTGGGGGATTCTACAGAGTATGATATTATTAATTGGTATTCACATATTTTACCTGCTTTTTTCCTATATTCATCGTTTGAGTTAAATGACGGCAGATTCTGTTCGATTCTAGCAGGCAAGGATAAATGACTCGTAAATAGCATAAATTTCATGACAAATAGGGCGCTAACCCCCACTAAATTCGACAACAAAAGTGGGAATGCCTCGCTCAAGCGATGAAACGCTCATACATATTAACGACACGTCGAAGCTGAGTTGCAGTGCAGTGAAAAGCGTTTAGCGGCATAGTCTCATATCCTGGCATAGACATTGGGAGGAACAGCAGGAGATCATCAATAATCATACACCATGGCCTCCGAACAGACATCCGGGACTATCTTGACCTTTCACCATGATGGAAAATTGATCAATTTGCAGACTCAAGTAGTGTCAATACGGCCGTTTTCTGCCCTTGAGGAGCAAAATCGCGCCATTTTCAAGGACGCTGGCGATGATGACTATGTTGTCGTAACCAAGGAGACTATCTTCCACCCCCAGGGTGGCGGACAGCCCTCTGACGAAGGATCAATCACATCAGTTGCATCTCCTGCCATTTCTATCGACATCAGAGCGGCACGCATGGACGTTGTCAACGACGGGCTGGTGCTGCATCTCGGCCGCTTCAAAGACTCAACGGAGACGACACTTCAGCCTGGCGATGTTGTTGAGCAGACCATTGATGCGGAGAAGCGCCTCCTCTACTCAAGACTGCATACCGCGGGTCATGTTCTGGGATCAGCAGTAAGGAATCTCCTGGAAAAGGAGATTGAAGGGTTCGATGAACTCAAGGCGTCGCATTTCCCCGACAGCGCTGCCTGCGAGTTTCGTGGACTTATCGAGGGCAAATGGAAGCAGCCGATCCAGGACCGCGTCGACGAGTATCTTCGCCGTGCAATGCCCGTGGAAATTGACTTCTGGACAGAAGACGACTTCAAGCGAGAGGGCCTAGAGCGTTTGATTCCCGACCGAAGCCTGTTGCCTCCAGGAGAGAGCAAGTTCCGCGTTGTGCGCATTGTGGGAGCTGAGGTTTATCCCTGTGGAGGAACACATGTTGACACAACTGATCTATGCGGCGCAATAACGGTGAAGAAGATTGGGAGAAGCAAAGGTATCAGCCGGGTCAGCTACACAGTAGCATGACAGGCGGTATGAAGGACTAGTAGCGATACGGCGCTGTAACTTGAAGACTGATGTCTCACACATGAAGATGGATGTACGAGACACGGCTCAAAGGATAGATGCATAGATAGACAAGTGGATAGACTTTCTTAGAATTCATGAATGAGACACCAAAGAAAGACTTGTTGGCAGGCCGCAAGAGCCGCAGCCAACCGCCTCAAAATAGTTTTTCTCATCTTGTGATGCAAAAGGTGGCGTTGAGAAAAAGTTAGCCGATCTGAATGTAATCTCCGACCTCGGTGAAGGTAATAAATCTTCGACAATACGATCATCTAGAAACACTAGATCATCTCCATAATCCTAGTCCATCGGGAGAAGATAACCTTTTAGATGAAAGGTTGCCTAATTCAGTTTACCTGCGTCCCTGTGACGCCACGGGAAGACCCCGTGGAACTAATGAAGCCATCGCCAACCGAAAAAGTAACCACCACTTCGGAAAGATGGCGATAGATTCCCTTCTTGTTACGGTGTAGCTCGTGGCTTATGCAACGGGAAGCCACCCGGAGGGGACGTTTTCGAAGATTAGAAACGTCGACCCGCACTGTTAGAACCAACTCGGAGTGTTCCACCCGCACTGTCTGGACGGCGTGTTCTACACGCCTCCGCATTATCCCCGCATAATGACATCGAACCTGATATTTCTAGCTTGGGGTAAGGTTGGAAGATGGGAAATGACAGAGCGTAGCGAAAAAACAGAGAAATAGTTGTGAGCACATACAGAGACTGAGGGAGAAAAAGAAGATTGCTACCTTATACACCGCAACTCCTCTAGTCATTATCTTTACTCCACGCAATAATCTTCACTGCAATTATCAACCATGGGTAGTAACGAACTTCCTTTTACTTTGGCCGATGCAAGCCTTGGCCACCTAGACTGTCTTGTCGATGGACAGACTGTAGTCGCCAAATCAGGCAAACGCTTCGATGTCATTGACCCCGGCACTGGCAAATCTTGGGCGTCGTGCCCAGACTGCCGACAAGAAGACGTCGACGCTGCAGTCCAGTCGTCACATCGGGCCTTTCAAACATACTCTAAATGGACACCTAGGCAAAGGGCCCAGACGTTGTTGAAATGGCACCAGGAGATTGTTGCTGCGCGAGATGACCTCGCCAAGATTCTGGTCTACGAGACGGGCAAACCCCTTGCGGAAGCTTATGGCGAAGTCGACTACGGCACCACCTTCACCTGGTGGTTTGTAGGCGAAGCAGAGCGAATCCAGGGAGCTTCAATTGTCAACGCAGTCCCTGGCCGACGAGCAGTTACCATCAAGCAGCCTATTGGAGTTGTCGCTGCTCTTGTGCCATGGAACTTTCCCCTGGCTCTGATTCTCAGAAAGGCGAGCGGAGCCCTTGCGGCAGGCTGCACCATGGTTGTCAAGCCTTCGCCTGAGACACCCATCACAGCGCTCGCAGTGGCTCGGCTTGCACTGAAGGCTGGATTCCCTCCGGGAGTACTTAATACCCTAACAACAAGCCTCGAAGGCACGCCAGAATTGGCAGAAGCACTGTGTCTTCACCCACTGGTCAAAAAGGTGACCTTTACTGGCAGCACAAGAGTCGGCAAGATTATCACGAGCCATTGTGCGAAAAACCTGAAAAAGGCTTTGGTTGAACTTGGCGGAAACTGCCCCTTTATCGTCTTTGATGATGCCAACCTTGACCAAGCGCTGGAACACTTTATGCCACTCAAGTGGCGGCATGCGGGTCAGGCTTGCGTTTCTTCAAATAGAGTCTACGTACAACGAGGAGTTTATGACAAGTTTGTTGCTGCCATTATCAAGGCCACATCTGAACTGAAGATTGGCCACGGAATGGCAGAGGGCACTACCCTAGGTCCAGTCACGACGCCAAGAAGTCTTGATAGGGCCGAAGACATGGCCAAGGATGCTATTTCCAAGGGAGCAAAGATGGTGCTTGGGAATGGGCTCAGAGACCAAACGGCAGATGGAGGTTATTTTATGAAGCCTACAATCTTGACAAATGTCACAGATGATATGCTCATGAGCCAGGATGAAATATTTGCGCCTCTATTGGGAGTTTCGGTGTTTGACACAGAAGAGGAAGTAATTCAACGGGCCAACAATACTGCCATGGGCCTAACCAGCTATGCTTTTACAAAGAATGTGGACAGACTTTGGAGGCTTTTTGAACGATTGGAAGCAGGCATGATTGGTTTGGTAAGTCAAAGTTATATGGCTGATTTCAGGATAGCCAAAACCTTTACTGACGTGAATCCTCTTTAGAATACAGGTACTAATTCTTGCGCTGAATCACCATTTGGGGGCATTAAGGAGAGTGGATCGGGTAAGGAGAGTGGAAAGGACGTTGCTGTTGATGAGTATATGGTTATAAAGACTGGAACTTTCACCTTTGAGGGCTTGTAAAATATTGTAGGAATACGTTTTTAACATGCACAATGCATTTAACCAAGCTACTGATATAATAAAAACCACGGGGTTTCATTTTCTTGTGCATACATGATCCGACCGATTATTTATCACAACGTGAATCTATATTAGGGTAGGAAAAGGCATAATAGTTTATGGAAGATGCATTTCTCTTGTTGCATCACTTATTGCCCTAACTATGAAATCCGTGCAATCCCATCGAGTCAAAGTTTATTACAACCAACCTTTTTTTTTAATCAAATGAGCTTCTAGCATTACATTTATACGCATCGTCCACCATCTACCTCTAGATTGACGCCAGTGATAAAGGATGCCTCATCACTTGCCAAATAGCAACAAGCATTGGCAATGTCTGCTGGGGTTGATGGCCGACCCAGCGGAACTGTCGAGACAAAAGCAGATATATCAGTAGCTCCAAGGAAAAGATCCGTCCTATTGTACCACAAAGTTAGCAAGAGTTGGAGGCTAACGCGACCGACAGCATTTATACTTACATTCCCGTAATGCCAACAACTGGAGAAACGGCATTAAACCGAATCTGTTTGGGGCCGTATTCAGAAGCCAGCGCTTTCGTAGCTGTGATGCAAGCTCCCTTGGAAGCGCTGTACCATGATAATCCACCGCGGGGCCGGATGCCAGCCGTTGATGCAATCTGGATAAAGCTGCCAGGGCGGTTCTCCTTCAAGAAGTATGGCACAATGACATTGGTCGACAAATAAATCGACTTGACATTGACATTCATCACCAAGTCGAATTCTTTCTCAGTAACGCCTTCTGTCGCCTTGTTTGGATAGGCTGCGCCAGCGTTATTTACGACAATATCCAAATGCCCATACTCTTTGATCGCCAGCGCCAATACGGCCTCCCAATCAGCCCTCTTGGAGACATCGGTGCGTAAAAAAGCGCCTTGGAGCTCAGATGCAACCGCTTTGCCGGCCTCTTCTGAGAGATCTGCTACAATGACTTTGGCACCTTCCTGGGCGAACTTTGTGGCAATTCCTCTGCCGAAGCCAGACGCAGCGCCAGTGATGATGGCTACCTTGCCCTCGAGACGGGTTGACGGCATTGTTATTTTTTTTTTTTTTTTAAAGAGAGAGTGAGAAAGAGATAGATTGATGAGACCAGGGTTCACTAGGGAGTGGAGGTTGGTTAAATGAAGATGTTGTATGCAGTGAATATCAAAAACACTCGATGGCAATATATGCAAGACATTCAAATTCGTGTATTACAACGGACCCCTCTTCGAGGGCGGCAGCCGATAACATTCATAAAGAAATGTCCCAAGTGACACACAGTGCGGGCCACTTGTGAGCCAATTTAGGCCGACTCGGCTAGAACCACTCTACACTTTACTTTCTCAAGTCGGTTGTGTGGGGAAGCGCCGGAGGGCCATGCGGGGGAGGTAGTTTGAAGATGGATCAAAAACGAATTGGATAATATTGGCTAGTTGCGGCTGGATAGCTAGTCCGTGATGACGAGTATTATGGATATCACTTGGCATTGGGGACAATAACTTGATCAAACATCTTGACAAGGAGCCGATTTCGGATCAGACACGCCGATGTCAGGCGCGTGAGGCAGCTTGAAGACGAGAGAATCGGTTTTCAACGGGGCCATCGCAAGAAGCAGTGCTTACGGGGCAAAACCTCCACCATTGTGTAGGAAAGAAAATAGAAACCTCCCTAGCAAGTGTTATTTACGCATGTTGCCCGCTCCTACCAGTATCATTATCCGCATATCAACGGCTGTAACATCATCATGACTCAAACATTCCGCATTCTTGTCCTTCCAGGCGACCATGTCGGGCCTGAGGTGATGGCCGAGGCCCTCAAAGTACTAGACGTCGTGGAAGAATGTCGCCCAAACCTCAAATTCGAGCGCACTTTCGACCTCGTCGGCGGAAGCAGTATCGACAAGCACGGCGTCCCAGTTACAGAGGAGGTCCTCGACAAAGCCAGCAAGAGTGACGCGGTGCTATTTGGCAGCGTGGGCGGCCCAGAGTGGGCAAATGCTTCCCCCAACCCAGAGGCTGGCATTCTGGGTCTTCGACACAAGCTGGATGCATTTGCGAATCTACGGCCGTGTGAGATCCTCGTGCCGTCCCTGCTGGAAGCCTCGCCTCTCAAGCCTGATATCGTCAAAGGCACCAAGTTTATCGTCGTGAGAGAGAACTGCGGCGGTGCTTACTTTGGAGACAAAGTCGAAAAGCCCGAAGTTGCATCGGACTTGTGGGTATATGAGCCCCGAGAAGTCGAGCGCTGTGCTCGTGTGTCGGCCGCGGTGGCGAAGATATTGGGGAAGAAGGGTGACGGCAAAGGCGGCGGCGGTCCAGCCACTGTCTGGAGCGCTGATAAAGCAAATGTTCTGGCCAGCGGCAGGCTTTGGCGCAGAGTCACGGAAGACGTGTTCAAGAGAGAGTTTCCGGATATCGAGTTGCGCCACCAGCTCGCGGACAGCATGGCCATGTTGATGGTCAAGAACCCTCGCGGCTTCAACGGAGTCATTCATACAGACAACACCTTTGGCGATATTTTGTCCGATATTTCGGGCGGAATCGTAGGCAGCCTCGGGACTCTGCCGAGTGCGAGCATTTCTGGCATCCCTGGAGAGGGAAGATGCAATGGCATCTATGAGCCGGTGCATGGCAGCGCTCCAGACATTGCTGGGAAGAACTTGGTCAACCCAGTCGCGCAGATTCTGAGTCTGGCGATGCTGCTGAGGTATTCGTGCGTGCTTGTAGACGAGGCGGTGGCCATTGAGAAGGCCGTCGAGAGGGTATTTGATTCGAAGGAAGCTGGCGGGCTCGGGATTCGGACAAAGGATATGGGAGGTGATGCTGGGACGAAGGAGGCTGGAGATGCCATTGCTAGCGAGGTTCGACGCCTCTTACAGGCAAATTGAAAAGGATAAGGTGTTGTTCAACTTAGTGGTACGATTGGCTGTACAATGCGAGCTGAGATCTTTAGTGGTAGCACAAGCGAGGAACTCGTTCAGTGGCTATAGGCATGTGGTAGGTAGTATCTGGTTTTCGCAGAGCCAAAGCAGCAGTAATATTTTAGTCTTTCAGGCAAGGGTGCAGAGGCCCATGTGCTCCTCTCCTCTGCGTAGTGGCAGCTGAAGAGCAGTTGCAAGGATGAGCATGTAATTACGGCGTATCACAGAGACAAAGATAAACGTAACGAGTCAACCAATTGCGTTGATAAAATTCGGTTCCTCTTACTCTATATTAAAATACCACCAAGATTGCAATTTTCAAGCGTTGTAACGCATCATTATATTAGAAATAGGCATGCTAAATAGATATACAGAACATACTTCATACGAGCTTATAATCAAAAACAGCGGAGGACACGGCCTCCCCAATACGCAAAAGCAATAAACTTTAATCACTCTTTGCCCTCAACAACAATGCTGAGGCTACCCCCGGCTTCATCAATTTCCACGATAGTCTTTTTGTGGCGACGGTCCAGGTAAGACAGCACGGCCGTCCAGATAACAAGGGCAATGCAGCAAGCAATCATGGCCCACATACCGCGCTAATAGCATGAAGAAGTTAGCAAGCATAGATCTCAAAGAGGACAGAGCTTAGAATACGAAAGAGGACTCACCGTGAACCATGGAGCCATAGCGGCGCCGTAGAAGATGATGCTCCACCAAGCGTTGACGGCATTGTTGCCTAGGTTCATGCCGGCCAGCACAATAGCACGGAAGACGTGCTCTTCATAACGTAGTGAATCATTGCACCAGGCGAAGAAGGTGGCCTGGCACGCATAGACGGAGCCGGCAATGTAGTAAGCAGCCATTACTACCGGGGTAGAGCCTGGGCTTGTAGGGTGGTGTGAAGCCACCAGTATCATGATAGAGGTGGCAATGCCAACGATGCCGATCCAGTAGCCAACGAGGTAGCGTTTTCCATTCAAGAAATCAGTCAGTGTGGCCCAAAATAGGGTCGAGACGATGCCAACGGCCGGTACGCCGGTTGGATAGTTGTTAAGTTGGCTGACAGTATAAGTATGAGTAGGGCTGCTTTTGAGGAAGAGCGCAAGAAGCGCGTTGCTGGAAAAAGATTCTGTTTCTCCAGCAATGACCCAGAGCATAACAAAGCCCCAGAATTGCCAGGACGTAAGAACTTTTTTAAGGAAGCGCAGGGTGATGGGTGAGCTCTCTTCAATGACAGGCACGCGGGCCGCAGCCAGGCGTTTCTCATCGTCGCTGAGATAAAACGCTGTGGTGTTGCGAGGCGTGTCTGGGAAGAAGATGATGCCATACAACGCAACAGGGATCGTGAGAAGGCCGTCAATGATGAACAGCCATCGCCAACCTGCAAGCCCGCCGCGGCCATTGAGACTTTTATGAATGCCTGTCTGGATAAAGCCGCCGATCATAGTGCCGGCCAGGCCAGAGGACGTGAAGATGCCGCTGCGCTTGCCGAGCTCACGCTCAGTATACCAGGCGCCGAGGATGTAGTGCGTGCCAACGAAAGTGGAGGCTTCGCACATGCCCTGGAAAAAGCGAATGGCCATGATGGACTGAGGGTTGTGCACCGAGGCGGTGACCATGGTGAGGCCGCCCCAGAGCAGCATCATGGAGGGGAACCAGATGCGTGGCTTGACATAGTAAAGAGAAAGGTTGGAAGGGATCTGACCCAAAACGTAACTGTGAAATGGGACGTTTTGTCAGTAGCTGGTCGTTTACAGAAACTATAGCGCAAGGGAAGAAAGCAGTAGTTACTCACCCAACTGTAAAGCAAGTGTTGATTTCATTGAGTTGATTGCCTACAAAGCCCAAGTCTTCTTTCATTCCCGAAACATAGGCATTGGAGAGATTTGAACGATCAAGCTGGCTGGGGAGTTAGCTGACTCACAATAGGGCGGGATGAACAGAGCGGAGACGCGTACATAGTTGATGAAGTAACTCAGGCAGCAGAATGTTAAGATGAAGAAATCAATCTTGCGCAACAGCGTGCGCTCCCCAGGCTGATAATCGGTATGCAAGTAGTCGCGGATCTTTTGAGATACCATCTTGAACTGCCGAGGAGGATTGACAACCCCCAATCCTAGCCACAAAGTGACGAGAAAAGCAAGAAGAATTTGTAAGGGAGGTTTGAGACAAGGGCAACTCCAACGCCGGCAATAGGCCAAGGCGAGTTTACAGCAACGTTTCAGCGTTTGAGCTGAGATATCCTTCTCAAGTGACCGAAAGATGAGGGTTTTCAGTGGATCTTTATGAGTTTGGATTTACCCAGAGTTGATCAGTCGCACCGTGTTGACGCGCCGTTGCCGGCTAAGGCTATGTACTGTTACGGAATCAAGGCCCGGCGATAAAAAAATGACTGGTGCTATTTAGGAGTAGCATTATCGTAGTAGTATGTATTAGCTAGATAAGAGCCACCGCCTCTCAGCCACCGCTATCTCCAATCTCCTCCTTAGTACAATTGATAACCCATCCAGATAGTAGTACATGTTTGCGCCTTTCGCTTTGTGGTCATGCGAGGCGGTGATAGACTGATAGACTGATTGCGAGAGACCCTCATTGGAACAAAACTGCCGGCAAGGCTTGACGGAAGTTCAGCTAAAAAGTTGGCCGAGGCGAGATCCCTGTTGGGGTTTGGCATGGAAAGCCTTAGCGTGGCTTCGCTGCAATGCGGCGTCTTTCCATGCTGTCGAAACGCAGGGCTTCGAACCGCTAGGCTAGACTAAGAACTCGGGAGGAAAAATCCAAAAGGTCGGTCGCCCCTCAATACGAGAGCGCACTACTATATACGCCGTAAGCCACCACGACGAGGCGTCACCAACTACTATTATACTACTAACATGCATACTACTACCGGCTTCCGTTAATCAAAAACGTGGGGAAGCAAAGAAGAGGATCCTCTTCGAGTCGAGAAAAGCTGGGGTAGCTTAGCTAGGGGCCCCCAACGCAAGGTAGCACGAATCGAGGATCCATCCTTTACACACATCGAGCAGCGCATCTTACTGGTACAAACATGGCAGTATCCCATCCATGCGCAGTAGTATCTGTTAGTCCACGGAGTTCATATCCATAGTCGCTCGCACTATGGAGCTGCGATAACGAGATCCGGTCCGCGCTGGGAGCCCCCGCAGACAAGAGCAGCCAAAAATCCTCCAAGTTTTTCCATCCAATACCATACGCGGGCGTTGCTAGACACCTTTTTTTTCGCCATGCTCCCCTGACCTTTTCCCTTTTCACTAACCTTCTTTTTCCTTCTTCTTCGTTTTCTCGTCTTCTTCTTTCTATTTTTTGTCTTTTCGCTCACGCCCACCACCCCCCCTTCCCACCCCCCTAGCTTGTCAAGGCCCAGATGTTTCTTACCCTCTTTTTTTGGTAGCCTTCCCAATCTGGCAACTTACCAAATCAAGCAACTGGATGCGGGAATGGCTTCCAACACCAACGATGGGGTCCTTCAACAGCGCAACAAGCCAGTCGGAAAGCCTCGCGGCATGCGCCGGGACCGGGACTGTCGAAGCTGCAAGCTAAGAAACGTGAAATGCGATCTGAACAGGCCCTCGTGCGGAGAAGTGGGTAGGCCCCTTATTCCATGAAGCTGGCTCTCTCTTGCTTGCCTCCCTTCCCCCCTCCCCCCCTTGCGCAGAGATAAATCATGATCTTGATCTTGAAATCCTGGTCCTTTCTCGGAGATGAGACGATTGCTCACTCTGTGCGTGTAACAGTGCGTCGCCGCCGGGGTGCCATGTGGCGGATACCCGCAGCGAGTCATCTGGGTCGGTGCCAGCTCATCCGTAAAGGAGGCATCCTCGCCGACCTCAGCGCCATCATCGACCTCAGTCCGCTCCACTAGACTGGCCCGGTCTCAGTCGGCCATCTCGCGGTCCAGCGACTCTGGCCAGACGCCCCCAGACCGCGGCGCCTCGGACTCGTGGTCGCCGCCTGACCGGCCAGCCTCGAGCCCCGGCGACGATGCCGCCCCGATCAGCTGGTCCGAGGCCGACCAGAACAGCTTCATCAAGCCGCTAGCGACGCTGTGCCAGCAGATCATCTCGCTGGACGGCGACGCGCTGCGCAGCAACCACTACCTGTCCGTAGAGGCGCTGCGGCTGATCTCGCGGCTGCGCGACTTTGTGCAGGCTCGCATCGACGGCCACCCGGCGCGTGCTGACATGTGGGAGTCGGAAGACCTGGCGCGGTACCGGCTGGACGCGCTCATGAGCCTCAAGGATGCGCTCAAGGCGACGAATCCGTTTGCCTTTATCGGGATTGCGGCCTTTGCCTTCTTCGAGGTGTGTGACAGCGGCTTCGGCGACTGGCAGCGTCATCTGTATGGGGCAAAGTCGCTGCTGGACTACCACTGCAAGAGCCGGGCCGAGCTGGACAACTTGTCACGTAGTGTAACTGGTTTGAGCGAAATGGTGGTCCGCCTGGTGTGGTTCGATACCTGCGGCAGTATCATCCGGGGCACTACTGATCTCATCTTTGAGAACTGGCACCGAGAGCTTCTGACTGATAACTTCTTCCGCACTGTTGGTTGCGCGGCAGAAACTTTTGAGTTATTCACTAAAGTAGCCAGCGGCGAGGTTGCGTCTAGTCCTACCAATAGTGCCTTTCTTGCGATCAAACAGCTTCTTGGCTTGGGCCAAGGAACCTCTGACTGGGATCGTTCAGCTGATGCATATCGCTGCGCTGCTGTCATTGCTGTGTTAACCCGGGTCGGCAGCGAACCCATGACTTTGTCCACACAGAGCACAATCTCCGTAGCTGTGGACCGGGCGTGCCAGATTATCGCAGCAACACCTTCTTCCTCGCAGTTTTATATCCACATGGCTGTTCCGGCATACTTGGCCGGGATGAACGCAACCTCGAAAAAGCAATGTGACATTGTAAGGTCATATTGGCATAACTGTAGCCATGCTGGGGTTCGACGATATCCAGATGGTTTGGCTAGATGCGAAGACCGCTGGAAGATGAAAGGGCTGGCATAGGCTGGGTAATTGCCTAAGTAGCAATTTTGTTTTTTGTTGGTATTTTGTTCCTCTTTATCTTTAAGCAAGGAAAGCGAAGGCACAGGGAGTTTTCTCAAGTTTTTTTTTTTTTTTTTGGTTTGCTTTCTGAAGGAATATACTACATGGAATCAGTTAAAAGTAGGGAAAACGCGTTTGAAAAGATGAAACGGATATTGGGTTTTTCTGTTGGTTTCTTTTCTTTGATAGTTCTGATCGAATGAGATATCAGCACTTTAAGGGGTTATTCATATCTTGTATATGATATATCGTGATTAACCTAGCGTTGGGCAAAAGGCATGTTTCTCGGGCTTACGGACTACGTTTTTGATGCGTAATTACCCAATGTCTTGCTTCTTGGCTGCATGTATGTGCATAATCAGCTCACATGCTGTGGCTCTTTGTGTTACCCTATTTTAAAGCATCATATTGACACCTTGACACGACATTTGTCGATAACCTGGGAATCTCGATAAGGCTCTGTGAAAAGCTGCAAAGTTCATCCAATAGTTAACTACTCTTCAAAGCGAGTAACTAGTCATGTTGTTCCAAACTATCTTTACTCTTGGTTCAAGTCTGATATAACTAAGGGGTAGACTAAGGCTGCATTCAATATGAATCCGCGCCCTAGACATGACAAGTTTGAATAAACCTAATAAAGACGAGCTTGTATGAACGGAGTGGTTTATTGCCGCGCTTATGGAGCTGAATTAGGTTATTAACTTGAAACCTGTAAGTCGACTAAATGGGTTATCAGTGGAATCACCCGTGGAGTGGGCGGCCCAGCCGGCAACGTGGTATCATCAATAATCACCCAGGCAAGCAAAGCCAAGCCCGTGTCAACTGATTACCGCATTGTTTCCAAAGTATTAGTGCTCCAGTAGCATCTCCAACTAAAAACTGGGGTGCATACCTAGCATCAAGCCACCGGCTAGTAAGCACGGCCCCCTCTTTGCTCCAGTCCTAGACTCTCTCCACAGAGATATCAGAACTTTATTGTAACACAACTTACTCCGAAAGCCGTCATGATCCATGCCCGATCGGGCAATCAATCTATGGTGATATCCCCTCGCCAAGCGCGCGATAGTTGGTGGAGTAAAAGGGCGCCTCGTTCCCCTTGGGAGCAGGGTTGGAACTCGAGGAACCCCTCATTGCCTGTTCGTCTGTCTGTTCCTTGGGCCCAACCAAGTCGTACTATCAGCTGGGCTCTCCTCTTTCTCTTTACGAATTACATACCATGTACTACTACCGCTATCGCTATTCACATCGGCAACGGGCCCCATCACAAAAAGATCCTCTGACCTCGGAATCGTGAGAGACCCCGCACTGGGCCGCCACCAGCCCGTTGTATAGACTGCGGAATGGGACTTGTGGGCTTGACCTTATCGTAGGCAGGAAATCCGGCATCGGTGCGGGCATTGAAGCAACTAGAAGTGGCGCGATAGATACCTGGAGAGACAAGGAGAGCCAAAGAGATACATTAAAGCTGAGAAAGACGGGCTTTCTTGGTCGAGTCGAAGCTAGCGGCAGCCCCGACTTTAACCTTATACTCGCTCCTCTCTCAAACCCAATTTTGGATCAAATTTGTCTTTTTTGTTTTCCCATCATCTTTCTTTCTTTGTGAATTCCTCAAAGAACTATTTTGATAGTGTGGAAGAGTCGAAATGACAGTCTCTGGAGACTCAATTATTACCAACAGTGCTCATAGCACCAATGGTGTTAATGGTGTCAACGGAGCCAAGACAAATGGCGTCAAGTTGTCGTGGGAGGAGCTCGGCGCCAAGAAGCGCAGCCAGTTGCTTGCTTCTATACCACCAGAATGGCTCATCCCGGAGAACCTGCTGCCTCCAGAGTCTCAAGACGATGTGACAACATGGCCTGAAACATCTGGATGGTTTACAAGTGCGGAACTGGACATTACAAGCTTGACCGCCAGCGAGCTGGTCTCGAAACTATCTTCGGGTGCTCTCAAGTCAGAGGATGTCACCCGAGCTTTTTGCAAGCGAGCTGCTGCTGCTCACCAACTTGTAAGTGTTACATGTTGTCGTCTCCTTTTGTTCCTTGGTAGAGAATTTGGTACTGACCCAATGCAGACAAACTGCCTGTCTGAGACGTGCTTCGATCGCGCCATCGCCATGGCTCGTGCTCGAGACGAACACTTGGCAGAAATCGGCCAGCCAATTGGCCCTCTACACGGCCTGCCCATTTCGCTCAAAGACAACATCAATGTCAAGAGCGTTGACTCTACCGTGGGCATGGCGACGCATGTGGGCGACCCCGCCAAGTCAGACGCAACGCTGGTCGAGGTACTGGAGGCGGCCGGAGCCGTCTTCTACGTCAAAACGAATGTGCCCACGGCCATGATGATTGCCGAGTCGGTGAACAATGTGTTTGGGCGCACGCTGAACCCGAGAAACAGACGGACGACGAGTGGTGGCAGCTCCGGCGGAGAGTCTGCCCTTATTGTCATGAAGGGCAGCCCCATTGGTGTTGGGTCTGATATCGGCGGCTCTCTTCGGATTCCGGCTGCTTGCACAGGCATTTTCACTCTTCGGCCTTCAGCGGGCCGGTTTCCCGTGCGAAACTGCCGATCTGGCATGCCTGGCCAGGAAGCCGTCGCGTCTGTCAATGGACCTTTGGCTCCTACGCTCGAGGACGTCAAGCTATATAGCAAATCTGTCATCGACGGCCAGCCATGGCTGAGAGATCCCAAGTGTCTGCCAATCCCCTGGAGAGACGTTGAGCTGCCCCAAAAGCTGCGGATCGGTGTCATGTGGCACGACGGCGTTGTCCAACCTACGGCTCCTGTAACTCGGGCCCTGAAACACACAGTCGCCAAGCTCAAGGCAGCTGGTCATGAGATTGTGGAGTGGGACAATTTTGACCAGGCTGAGGGAGCCCTGTTGCTGCAGCGGATGTTTGTGGCTGACGGTGGCCTGACTATCAAGTCGCAGCTTGATCCTACAGGCGAGCCATGGAGGAGCGAGATGTATCCCTACTCTGTGGCGAGGGAGTTGGGTACTGCAGAGATGTGGAAACTGCATTTGGAGAGGACGGATTATCAGAACCGACATCTGGATAGATGGAACAAGGCGGGTCTCGATGCTCTTTTGCTGCCCACAATACCGTTTAACACGGTCAAGCATGGAACTTTTAAGCATGGTATGTTACTCGCTGATTTCTATTCTATTTTTGATGGTTCGCTGACGACAAATTTGCTAGTTGGATACACTGGAGTCTACAATGTACTAGACTACTCTGCCGTATCATTCCCTACCGGCTTGAATGTTATTGAAGGCGTCGATGTAGAGGAGCCTGACTATGCGCCCCTCAGCAACGATTGTAAAGATATCCACGCGACTTGTAAGTGCTATATTATAACAGGCTTTTGGTCGGAACATTTACAAGTAACTTTGATGCTAACAGAAATGGTGTGTAGATGAACCTGAGTTGATGCACGGACTGCCCATTAGCTTACAGCTGGTGGCGCGGAGGTTGGAGGAGGAGAAGGTGCTTGCAATGACGGGCGTGGTGTTGAAAGCGTTGTCTGGGTAAACGATAACCACGAGAGAGATGCTGAGAATATGAAGGCTGTATATGTATAAATGGGGAAATACTGATGAAGAATCATGAGATGTAATGTTTTTGACTAGTGCTATTATTATTATTATGATTATTATTACATGTATTTACTACACTGCTTAGATAGCTACGAATAACGACATTATATCGTACATATTCGAATCTCCAGAGTCATCTATAATTGAAATGGCTTCATTTCTGTGTTGTAGGTGCGATTGGTATTGCCTCACTCTCGATGCATGAAGTCAGTTGCACCAATTATGCAGGATTCATCTTCCGGAGAAGTCTGTTCAGGAATCGGTTTGAAGAGCACATGCCATCATGGTGGGTGACATCGTGCGGTCGCGGCTCCAACAGATGCCGGAGAGGGATGCCAGCTAAATAATGCCTCGTTGCCAGTTACGTGCCGTAGTCTCGGTACGAGGGATTTTTGCCCACTTACAGCGAGGCGAGGCCATTCTATATTCATAGAATGCAGATAGGAAGGGAGTTACTTACAGTGCTCTGGTGTGTTTACGAACAAATTGATTTCTTACAAATATTATCCTGCCAATAACTACAAAAAGAGCAAGCGAAAATGCACGCATCGGATGTTGTAATGCAGCGTATATGGTGGTGTGGGAGTGTACATGAATTGCAGCCATCAATCTAATTATATAGTTGGGGGCCTGCAGCAATGTCACCAGCACCTAAAAAAACTCCGGCCTGCGAAAAGCGAGTGGAAGAAATGGGAAATTGAGAATAAACAATACAACAATGAAAAGTAGGACAAAGACATGCATGTGTTTTGCGATTGACTATTGCCCGAATGATATCACCTCCAAGCGCGCAGCTGTGTCTTTTTTTTCCCCAGCTTACGCTGCACACTTGAATGCTGAGGGGGATGGAGAAGGGAGACGGTGGGGGCGGCTCTACGGAGAGTTTCTGCTGCATGTTGATTTCAATGTTCCCGCAACTGCGGTGGATTCGGAGTGGGCGCAGCGTGGCGCCAAGTTGCGTTCGGGGCAGGAACTGCGAGTTGTCCGTTGAATGTTTGACACACATCAACTTTGCTGTCGAACCAAGCGGCCATCTACAAGACGCTTAATCAACATTGATAATGTCGAATATTGATGGTCAATATGACACACATTCTAAAAGAGAATCCGAAGTCAAATATACGCAATTTGAAAATCACGAATACGGAGACGACAACTACAAAGATGACAAACTCCGTAGAGGGGCTCGATAATATATGACTCAGAGTGGAATTCCAACCGTAGCGCCGACATCTTGAGCTGCATTAAAGCCATAAGTCAATACGAAGAAGATGATATTACTCAGGTGAACTTTACTGAATCTATTACCATACCGAAAAATTACATGGTGTTTTTATGCTGAAACTTTGAACCAAAAGAAGCTCAAGGTCTATCATATTATGGAGCCAGGTTCTACCAGAAATATGCTGATAGCACATTTAAATTTCAAAAGCTATGCCACCCGCGCGGAAAATCTTCAAAAACATATGCTTGGTATGGAGCATCCCTGGGATGTGGTTGCTATACAAGACCCCCTTCACGAACTCCTGTGGCCTCACGAACTCCTGTGGCTAATAAGAGGCATTCGACGCACGCATCAAATTTACTATCAAACCAAACGATCTGCTACAGAAAATGACCATCCAATGCATGGCGGGTATGAAAATGTATGCGAATCTCGAATCACCGTTTCGAAACTATCTGGCCACGAACCCGTGATGTTCTATGAAAATAGCGGCCTTCCCCAGGTAGCGCTCTGTCTCCCATTCTTTTCCTCTTCTTTGAATCTCCCCTTGTCGATAACCACGAGGCTCTGATGCTTTCTAGTCCACCTACCATGAAGTTTTCTTTTATGGACGACTCATATATCATGATGCGGTCAAATGCATGGGAGAAGGATTGTGAGAAAATAGCAAAAGTCCACAATCTACTCAATTCATGGGCAGAAGAAAACGGCGTCTCATTTGCGCCTGAGAAGTATAGCTTATTTTCCAATACAAAACTAGGCACCGTCAAGATTTACCGAATATCGACAACTTACTTTATGCTGAGAAACTATTTAAGAAAGAGTGTCTGGATATTCTGGGTATTCGAGCGGATAATAAGCTTTCACAGAAACATCAATTTGACTTGGTTTTGGACAAAGTGGCAAAACAAAGACGCTATTTGAAATGCATCTCTGGTTCCACATGGGGTCTCAGCTTGTTCAGAATGCGACAACTCTATCTTTCTAAAATTTTGCCCGTCATAACATATAGCTGTCCGGCTTGGTTCTTTGACTACCAAGGCACAATTCGTCATGGGTACACCCTACGGCCCTTGATTAAGAAGCTGGATACGATACAAGGAGAACTACTCGCTGAAATTTCCAGAGCCATGAAGAAGACATCCAGAATTCTCCTTCGAAAAGAACTACACGTTTAACCACTATCACAATTGCTGTAGATGAAGGCAATTGCCCGTCAAGCAAATGTCTATGATACCGAGTATACTAAAGAGCTTCACTTGGTCAGACAATGAGCTGGCCTTGGTGCTGACAGATTGAAAGCACGCCCATTTATTCAGCTCGACATATTGGCAGAAAGGTTAAGAAATATGGCCAAATTTCGACAAGAACGGCGCTATGTGTATGGATCAGAGAGTATTTAGAATGGCAATTTGGGAAGTGCCAAGACTCGTTGAAATAACATTAATGAAACGATAATCGATATTTTGAACCTTTAACCATTTACCGAGTGGGATCAGCATCGAGCTAGTCATGTGCCATCCTCGCCTCGAAAAAAAGCACTTGCCCTGAGAGAATCTTGGAGTGCGCGGAGTTTCAAGTACTACAAAACGCTCAACCGTAAACAGAGAAGACGCATGGGAAATTGTGGCAGCTAAAGAATGTTCCGAGCACAATTTCTTGATGAATAGGGCGCATCATCGCTGTAAGTATTTATGACCTATATGCTGATATTGCTTTATGCTGACTCATAGATTTTACATACAGAGTCGACTGCTTTCCAGAAGTGATGAGAGAGATTGAAAACAACCCCTACGGATTCATCTAATGTACATTTGACCTGCATCCAAGTATTTGAGATTTTGAAAAAGAAGCTGAAAAAATACGTCTTCTAACACTGGAAGAATCACATACGCTACCTATGGATAATCAGATATTTTTCCAGCCACCAGAGCCGCTACTGAGTTGGAGACAACTTCTTGCTGAAAATATGCCACCAGAATTCTTCGGTGAGCAAGAAATCGTTGAATGCGAATTGAACTTTGAATGGTAATGGAAGAAGTTGACGACGATGAAGAGAAGGAGATGACGAGCCGATGCCGGATTAAGTAACGAAAATTATGCGAAAGTCATGAAACGGAGAGAAGAAATGTTAATGTCAAGTTTAGCTCAAGGTTTTATGTTTTTCAACATGGACGACGGCGACGATGGCGACTCCGACGACTCCGATTGAGCGTTATATATAATTATATACGAGTTGCTAGGGGCGAGTACTAAAGATGAAAGCCTTTTCGTTTTCTTTATAATATTTCGATGTCTCGGTCTTTGAGTTGAAGCAGGCCGTCGGACGTGATACAACTAGTAGCTAGTTGCCAGTCATGCCATTTAACATTGTTTCAAAATATCATATAGATAATACATTATTGACGCTATGAGTTTGCCTTCTTTGATATACATGCGTAGAACATTTAAATCGCTGGACAAATACAACAGTCAAGTTCCCATTGAGAGGTAAAATTAGAGAATGCTGGTGCGCACACTACACTCGCCACCGAAACGATCGCCATGTTAGGGACAACGCTAGCTTGCAAACATATCGTAGTGTACGAAGTATCTTCAATATATTCAACCAAAAACTTTCAAAATCACAACCGGTAAAAAAAAAATGTTTTGCGAGCCGTAGGGATCGAACCTACGCGGGCATGCCCATTGCGGATCAAGTATTCTCAGTTCAACGAACCAACCTAAACACAACGCCTTAACCACTCGGCCAGACTCGCGAACATTCATGTCATATTGTCACAAATACGCATATGAATAAATTCTGGTATGCGCACGCTTTTGAAGGCGAAAGGGTAATAGCATAAGGCATCGTTGTCATCCTATACCATTAGTTCATACGAGCTATCTCTAGCAGTCACAAATAAGCGGTAATAGCACAATGGGGTTATACAAAACTGGGGTCCAATATATTAACTATAGAAGAAAATATATACTCAATCGAGTGATGCGCTTACTCGTCTTTCAACCAGTGCATGCACCATAGCACTTCCACAGTTCTCCCATTCTGCAAAACAAGTATATATCCCGTTTTGTCGTTTCCAAATTTATCCTCCTTTTTTTTTTCCTTTTACGTCGTCTTATCCTTCAGCTGACCTTTTAACCGGTGTAGTTGCAGGTGACACCGCTGCTGCTGGCGGAGCAGTCAGTCAGGACCTTGCCCGAAGAGCTCTCGATATCAATGATGGTGGAGCCGCTGGGGGTGATGGTGCCAGAGGAGCCAGAAGCAGTGGCGTTGGAGAAGGTGACGGAGCCAAAGTTGGCAAAGGGGACGAGGCTGCTGCCCTCCTCAAAGTCCTCGACGATCCACTCGGCGTTGGTCTCGCAAAGGGTCGAGGGAGTGTTGGTGAAGGTGTGGGAAACAGACTTTCCGGTGGTGAGGTTCTCAAGAGTGGCAACGCCCTTGGTCTTGGACGTGGCATCGACGGTCATGCGGATCACGTCGCCGACCTTGAGGTTGAAGCCGGAGAAGCTGTACGAGTAGTCGGGAATCCACTCATACCAGGCATCGAAGCTGCCATCACCGTAGAAAGAGACACCAGTCTGGAGGATGGCGGTTTGGCATGTATCTCCGTCAATTCCCACCCAGGCCGAGGCGGCAGCATTGGCACCACCCGAAGCACGGGGGACTGTGATTGTGCCGGTGACCTTGTTGAAGCCCTTGCCGATCTGGACAGCGCCAGCCCAGTTGGAGGAGTACTGGGGGTACTTGGTGTTCCTCTGGTTGGGAAGAGAGTGGGCGCCGTTGCGGCGACCAAACCTGGGGGAAATGTTTGAGGGGGCAGCGGCGGCGAGGCCAGCGGCGGCGAGGAGAACGGTGGAGTACTTCATGATGGCGACGATTGGAGAGCTGTTAGACTCTTCTTGTTTGAGATCAAGACTGGCTTTGGAGCTGAGTGCTGACGAGAAAAGAGCATTTGACGATGGCATCTAGCCAGCCTTTATATCTATCTCGAAGCTTCAACGCCAAGAACGGTAACCGGCACATCTCCTCATACTCTCTAAACCACCATAGGCTCCCATTATGCTTGGGATCACGGATTACATTCTTCGAATTGGAAGGAGGTTGTTGACCACTGATGCCTGAATGCCTCTGCCAAGCCTCAATTCGTGGTTGTACTTCCTCTTCCAGCAACTCACGAGCACGCAGAGTAGTAGCATACCTCCTCTATCACGGCGTGCCAAGACCACGGAAGCTAATCGAAGCCATCTTCAGTGCTATCTAGCTCACATGCTTGCTCAAAAGTTCATGATGGGGTTGGTCTTTGTAGCCAACGGAGAGAGCATAGATACGGACTCGAAAGCTGATAGGCAGGCTTCTCTGGCAAAAGACTTGAGATATCATCAAAAGTAGGCTTCAAAAGATCCAATGACGACAGCCCTCACCTTCCTGTTTTGCTTTCATCCGTCAAGGCATCAAGGAGTTTAAGATCCGCTCCAAGCCACACCATCTACCTTCAGAAGCGCTTTAGCGTCTCCTGGCCAAACAAGTTGCATATGCCCTTAACCAAGCTTACAATCCAGAGTTATTCACCCCTGGCATAGTCGGATAATTCGGATCTAGCGCCCAGACCTCAAGGTGGTAGTGCTGCTACTCATCTGCCCGATGGCCAGCCTCTCCCATCGGTCCATCGCAGTACGAGGTGGTATCCTCACACTGCAACTCAAGAAATGGTATGGTGCCCACCAACTCATATGTTGTATAGCAGCACTAGCACAAATGAGTAATAACTCGCCCCAAGGCGCCAAGCGGCGATGGCTTCCCGCTACCCGTAGATCGTGTATTAACCAGGCCAAGCGAGCTATACAAAAATGGTAGGTGGCCGGACATTGCGGGGCGTGAAGTTGGACTTGCCAGAGCGCCAAATAGAGAGCTCTCATAAAAGTAAATAGGACTCTCGGCAGCGGTTCTGGAAGGTAGTATTGGTCCCGGCACTGAGATGCCGATTTGTTTATAAGTATAGCCTCCAGGGAGCGGACTAGTTAGGCTCCTTTCACGATAAAAGATAACATTCGAACAAAGGAAACAGAAAGGGAAAAGAAACAGAGAAATCCTGTTTCGCGCTTGACTTCTCCAGAGCGGGTTTGGTGGAGCGCGGCCTCTAATTGGCTCATCGTAGGAATAACAGAGGTCGTCGGGCGGCTCCGAACGCACCCTCTCCGTCTTGCTTTTAAAGCCTTATTTACCAGCTAAATTTATACATACAGAGCATATATTCAAGCTGGAGAAGTGTCTGAAGTAACTCCTGCGTCCTTGGTAAGCCTAGGCCTTGTCAGGTTTCCCACTACCTACTGATAAACCTATAAGTTAAGTTAGGTATTGCTGAACTAGAGTCAGAAAGCAAAGGGTGTATCCAAAGCAGGTTTAACCAAATTCTGTGGATACTCTGGCACGGCAGCGAAAATTTGGGTACTACTACCTACTAATTCGCAACATAGTTGGCTTTCCTGCAGGCTTGTCTCAGGCATAACAATCGATGAAGATAGCTAGGCTTTGTGCAGGGCCCTTTTGCATAGTGTCGGGAATTGATCCCCCCAAATGGAAGTCGGCAGCGCAGCTAAAATCACGGCATAAAAATAGGCTGCTCCTTTCAGCGTTTCATGCTTTATTTTGTTTGCGCCTAAGCCGCCACGGCTATTTCGTCCTGGTCGTACTAGGTAGTTGTGGTGGTGTACAAGCAAGTAGCAGCAGCAGCACTGGTTGTTGAAATATCCTGGCAGGGTAGGACTCAATGCGACCATGTATGGCGCTACGGAGTTATTTACGCTCAACTATGCATAAAATGGTTAAAACGAAGTTGGGGCCATCCCCGAGGCTCATCAGCACTTTGATCGCAAATGCTCTTTTATTAACAAACACATTCTTGCTCATGCAATGGAAGAGACAATACGGAGTAGTAATAATCACAACGGTAGGCTGGCTGAATGAAGAAAGTGTCAGTTTAAGCAGTTTATCCTTTGTCCCCGTCCTTTCTTGAACGTTGCCTAAATCGCCGTTGTTTGCTCTCTGAATTGTTTCCAATTGTTGGCATGTGATCTGGCCGTGAGCGATACGAATTGAGCTTATCTTGCGACGATCCTAGAGACAAGGAGCAGCAAATCCACGACTTCGCGATACTGGCGCAGACAACTGCGAATAAACACGAGCTCGCAATGACCATTTCGATATGTTCCTTGATTGCTAGCGTGCCCTTTCACATTTTTCGATATTGTCATCGTAGAATTAAGGCTGAGCCAAGCATGATGGCCAGCTTGGCGATTCCTGGGCGTGCACTAGTGTGCATGAGCGAGATCTATGCTACAATGCAGTTGAAGTGACATTTCAATAAGAGTATGATAGTTGTAAATGGGTGCTACAATACAAGAAATACTGCTAGCCGTCGACAATTGGACATTGAAAATGATATACTGTTAAATTGGCTATAGATGAAATAAGCAAACATCTCGGGTTAATCGTAGGTACACGTAGTAAAGACAGTTTCCACACGCATATGATGCTAACCTAGAGAGAGAGAGAGAGAAAAGCCGTAATTTTTGCCTTCCTCTTTCGGTCTATCCCATATGACGATAAAAATAACTACATGCACTCTGTTTGCTCTCACCAAGCCTACAATCAACTGATGCACTGCCGGCATCTTGTATGCTTATTTCTCGCTTGGGCTATATCCATTTCGTCTTTAACCGAACTACAGCGCAGCTAGATCCTTCGAGGTTTCCACCTGCACCAGGATCTTTATTACAAATATGAGTGGGGGGCTGGTGTTGCATTGATGACCGTGGCGCGATTCCCATGCCGCGCGTTTTCTTCTCTAATCCAAGCCTTTATTTCGCGGTCACGAGGTGCCCATTATCTGTGGCCTGAAAACATTTCGTTTTCTTTCTTATGCTCATCTTTATGGCAGAGAATATCCAAGAAAGTTTCTGCGTGTGGTTATCGCTTCTCCTGGTCATTTAGTTCATAAAGGCTGGGGTTTTCGTAGGCATCGTTCGCAGCTACTACGACTATGTAAGCACAAATTTCAGACCCAGTACCCTCTTTTCTACCTATACCAGCTTTTATCAAGGTCAGGCAAAGACGTTGCGTTTTCATAGTGGCAGGTAATCTTCGAAGCACGGAATTATAGCGTCTTGTTGAATCTGGTTTACCGCGATATAACCTACCATCAGTCAAATGTCAAACGATCTTGTCAAGGTCAAAGAAGTATTGCATGTTCTTGCATTAATCATAAGCGTCATTAGTGTTCTAAACAGCTTCGCCCATCGTACAGCCAATTACTGCCCAATCTTGTACGGCTTCCCTGACTTCAAAACTAGATGTGGCTTACGCTCCGCCAGGTCCAGGATCATCTCCGCAAAGTAGCTATTTGCCCACGCGAACCACGGACGAGTATATACGCTCGTGTTGTAAATGTTGACGCTCTCGTGAATCAGTCCCAAACCGCTAGTATTCTCCAAGATGGTTGCGAGTCGCTGCTTGATCTCGTTATCGTCGTCGGTGCCAAATATGCCCGAGATTTGGCTCATGGGCCAAGGATAAGTGGCATTGACGTGAGGGCCACTATGTTCTTGTGGTTAGCATTGTCATACTGTCTCCCTAGAAGGCGCTTCGACTTGAACTCACCCGATACCATTGAATGATTTCCCTGCCGCATAATACGGGTTCGCCCTCGAAAACATGGCTGCTTTAGTCTTTTGATATGTCGGGTCGCTCCTCTCCAAAAATCCCAAGTACGGCAACGACACAAGGCTTGGGACATTGGCATCATCCATGATGTATTGAGCACCAATGCCGTTTGTTTCGTACGCAAAGATACCATTGGTGGTACGCGTATGTGCCCATACAGCCTGTTTAATCGTGTTGGAGTACTGGCGTAACTGTGCAATGAGGCTTTTCTGGACACCAATTGTGCTGAGCATATGAGCAACGTTGGCAAGCTCAACAGACATCATTGCGTTGTCAGAAGTGATGAAGTCTGTGTCAAGTTAGCGACGGTTGGTGTTTCGTAATTCTATCTGGTGAAGTTGAACTCACTGAACACGCAGAGATCATCAGAAGGCCGGTGACTTGACGCAACCAGGCCATTTGCCTGCTTCGGTTCGCCATTGCCACTGTTGGGTACCATGGGAGAAAGTGCCCCGGCTGTACCAGTCCAGTTATAATAGCTGACCCATTCAAAGTCGCTTGACCAGCTGCTTTGCGACTGTTCATAAAGGACTCTGACAATCTGGCTCATCGCAGCATTCCCTTTAATATGTTTGTGTCAGCCCCTCAGCTCGTGAAAAAGAGGAAGAAAGACCTGATGGCCGTCCGTACAATTATCATTGATGAAGGACGAATCCTTGGTGTTGGCATAATATGAGCGCGTGATCTTGAGAAATCCAGCGAGAGAGTCAAGCTCATACTATTAAATGTAAGAAGGCGTCCCTTTTAGCAAACGCTTTATCATTATCGTACCTTGCACTCAAACACGGTCTGGTTGTTAACAGGCCTAACGTGATGGGCGATGGGTTAGCTGCTTGAACATCTAACTTCCACTGCGGGAATACGTACGGATTTACAACAACATTTGTTGCCCAATCCTGAATAAGCTGTTATTATGATGTTTACCCACAATCACTGTTTGGGTTATAGCTCACATTGACAGATGGAGCCAAGCCACTCTCGGGTGGTGGCTGGAACGAACCTAAGATCTTTTCGTTAGTACGCGTGCTTAATCTCAAACTCCCATAACTCAACGTACCGCAGTAGGGATACTGTGAGATGTATCGCGCCTCTGTATTAATTACGGCTTTGACAAGGGCTTGAAGATTCTTGTCATACGGCAAGAGTTTATACAGATGAGCAAACTGATTGCCGGTATCGCGCAGCCATTGTGCACTTGTAAGCGGTTGATTAGCTCCATTTGTCTATGCCACCACAATTCTCCAACTCAGATATATAACGTACGTGATATCCTATCGAAGAGTTAGATAAAGGGGATAAGCTACAAGAGAAAATGAGTTAAGCGCGCAACTTACACCGGTGATGATGAATGCCAGGTTTAGCGAGGGATCGAAGTACTTGACCGTCGTATCCAGAGTTGATGGAAAGGTATTTTCGAAAAGCCGAGCAACGTCTGGATCTTTGAGTTGAGATTTCAAATCACTGATGACTTTCTACACAAGTTCGTACGTAATTGTCAGCATAGCAGCGAAAAAGATTACGCTTCCCATCTCATCAACGCACCTCGACTGCTGGGCTGTTAAACGTCCTGCATTCCTCGCTCGGCCGCATGTACGGCAGCTTCAGCGGCCCTGACGAATATGGGCCATGCGGTTGCTCCGAATAAGAGCTGTAATCAGGACACGACGATGCTGTGCGGCGCTGAGGCTGAAAGTTCTTCCAGCTAGCAGATGCGCCAGCTGGGAATGCAGCCAGAATGCCGAGCGCGGCGCCGAGCACGCTCTGAGGAGACAGGTGGAGCGGCATGGCGATTCTCTAACTGAGGCTGTTCAGAGGTGAATCCCTCTCGCGACCTGCCAACGGTCACGTACCAAATATCTTGAGCAATTGACAAGTTTCGTGTCTCTCTAAGAGGAAGCACCGGCAAGGAGGGGTTGCAGTTGCGAGGCAGGTCTCACCGATCATCGTCCATCTCGCTTTCACTCCGGGCCAGCCGTTTTATTTATCGTCATCTTGCCTCGCCCAGAGTTACACCCAGATTCAATTAAGTGGGGGGAAAACGAGACATGCATGACGATCTTGCCCTTGGGAACTCGTCCTTGGGTAAAAAAGCGTGCGGGGGAAGCGGGGAGAGACAGAAGGCAAGCATCGCCACGAGCCGGGATTGGAGCGTCTGTGGGAGATTTTCGAATGAGAAGAAGGATCATAGATGTTGTGCCGAAATCATGCTGTTATGTGGAGAGACGAGAGGTCTTGGTGTGTTGAATGAGGCAGCTGGAGAGAGGCACGGTAGCAGTGCTAGTAGTAGTGGCAGCAGTTGTTGTTGGTTGTCGGCGTTGTAATGCTTGGCTGCAGATGAAGCTGGCCCTGGGCAGTGTCTTGCGGAGAGACACAATTGTTTTTGTTGTTTGTTATTCTCCTGACTTTGTCTGAGACTAGAGACTCGCAATTAGAACAAAGAGCAGCGCGAAGACTGGCATTTGTTGAGAGGGTTGTAACGCGAAGACTGACGAGCAGTAATTCATGTATACGGCAATGATGATGGCTTCGCGAGTCTGGAGACGCCATTGGAACCCTCCAAGCCGAGAAATACCCCATGTCGCCTCATTGCCTCCTCTTTTTCGCATCCGACGGCCGCTGATATCTAGGCTGCAACGCAAACTACTGCTCCGACTCGGCTCTTTTGGGGCCTGATGTGACGTCTTGGCGTCAAATGCCGACAACTCGACTGAAGCCGGTTTCTGAGTGCATGGACATGGGTTCAATTCTGCCAATTATACTACACAGCACTGTTGGTGTTAGCTACATGTATGCTCTTCTCTTAACTTGCAGTGTAAAAACAGTCCTCATCTCACTTTATGCATCTTTTGTGCTGTTGGAGCGTGGAGACTGAATGGCACATGTAGGCTGGGAGCGTGTCTTTCTTTCTTTCTTTACCCGCCGCTTTATGTAATCTTGCATCAACACGAATCATGTGAGAACAGCTCCATCGCCAACACCAACGCCAACCAACGCTGACAATCCAGCTAGTATAACGAATAGTATAACCAAACCAGCCAGATGCATGAACCAATTCAAACAAGCAAAACTCCATAGCCACCATGCCATCCTCCCAGCCAAGCAGCGCGCTCATCCCGCACATTCATATGCTCTGCATAAACGACGATCACAGCGCCGCCCTGCACACAGCCCTCTCATCTCACGGCCTCTCCTCCATCGCAATAACCTACCACAACTGCGCGCTCTCATTCGTCGAAGCGCAGTTTGACCTCATCGTCTCGCCCGCAAACTCCTACGGCAGGCTGGACGGCGGCTTCGACGACGCAATCTCCCGCTCATTCTCCCCCCGCGACGACTATCTCGCCCTTACCAGAGCCGTCCAGGCGAGGCTGTACGACGACTGGCGCGGCTTTGCTCCTCCAGGAACCTGCACGCTGCTGCGCATCCCCGACGAGTTCCATCAGCGCTCGAGGAACACGTGGGGCACCAAGTATCTGGCTCTGTGTCCGCTAATGCGCGTTCCGCAAACCGTCGACTGGGACCGTGAGGTCGTCTACGAGTGCACGTGGAGCTTGTTATGCGCAATAGACAAGCACAACCGAAACGTGCGCAGGGGCGTACAGGATGGGCAACAGGATGAGATTCATAGTTTGCTCATGGTCCCTATGGCCACGGGTGTTGGAGCCGTGAGCCCTGAGAAGTGGGCGCGTCAGACAGTCCTTGCGCTGAAGCACTACATTGACGCGGTGGAGCATGAGGCGAAATGGAGTGCGCTTGAACCGATTGATATCAGCGAATATGCGGGTGCTGTCGAACAGACGTGGAAGTCTTAGAGATATGCGGGACGCTCACACGATGCTCTCTACTGCTTGTCTTGTCGTTGGCAAGGCGATGATGATCTGTCTTGCTTCACCAGAGTGAAACCGTTGGTTGACGGATGAGCGGGAGAGTGAGAGGGAGAATAAGGACTGCAAGTCATTTAGTCGACTCCACTGCAGATAGTCACTGCATCACATATTGAAAGAGATGAACCGCTCACAATATCTTGTAAATATAAAGACTGGCAGTGTGTCCGCGACTAGCAAGTACTCCAGCTCCAACATATTGTATGCATCATATACCGATGTGCTTGGCTTGTCCGAAATGATCCATACATGCGCAAAGTTCTCATTAAACAAAGCTACAACGAAGGGGACATGCTCGATTATAAACAAGTATCTACAGGTCGAAAAACTGCCTCAGCCGCGACAACAAGCACCAAAACACATGTCGGAATCTAATACATCGTGTTAGAGTCGTCAATACAACGCCCAACTTTGTCACATCCAGACTTACTCTTCCCGTGACGCTCCGTCGACGAAGCCACTTCTTTAGCGATCCACTTCCAGTATCTTGACATCGTGCCAGACGCTTTTCCAGATGCTGGAAGAATGTTATTCACTCTTATAACCCCATCACTTCTAGCAGCAGGGCAGTCGTCTCGACCGTGGTAGGGCGGGGGGAGCAGCATAATCTGGTCTTCAGCTTCATACATTGGAGGCAAATGCTCGTCGGTATTTTCCATAGTCATTTTCGTCAGTGTTGTTTGTAGGCAGTTTTGATCGGAAAGCGTCTGCTATTAAAAGAAGCAACCTGCCAGAAATAATATCAGAGCTTTATAGCCTGGAATCGTCCTGGCCAGGTTGTTACAGAAAAAGCGATGATGAAAGCCAAGTGGATCTATTCATGCACGTCTTTAATGCGAGACCATGTCTACGAGGTAGCATCAAGCGACAACATTCATGTCGAGCATGTCTTCTGAAACAAAGGGGTCTCTGCTCCTTTATACGATTTTGAACTTCGACGGCAGCAAGATTGGCCAAATCAGCCATGTCTCTTTTCGTCATCTGACAAGAATGTCTCTCTACCATGACACTATTCGATATACTCTTCACAAATCTCCCTAAGAGGCTACTTCGTCTCAATATCGAACTAGGTGTAGTGTATAGAGAAGATATCGGCACCCAAATCTATCGCCGAACATACCGAGTTTATAAGTTCATAAACTGCGCTCTGTTCAGCCCCCAGCTCACATTTAGTGTGTCGATTCCAGACTCAGGTCATATACTAACTAAGCTTAAAAAATATGCATCACGAGGCGTGCGCTACCTCTCTAAATCTGCGTATTAAAGGTCAAGAATGAGGGGAAGGCTGCTCATACCGCAGATGCCAAGCCTGCTTGGCTTATCAACAGGGTAGAATGGGGAAAAGCGTATGGAGCAAGGCGACGCTTTTGGCTGCGCAAGCGTCATATTGGTTGCCTTTGGTCAAGTTAAAAAGATTTGGTAGCCATGTAGGTGGATGCGTGGGCATAGATTCCGATTAGGTGAAGCAGTCATTTATGGCTTTGCAGAAAGCCACCCTCTGCATTTCGGACGTGGAGAGCCATAAGAGACTTGGCTAGTTAAGCGCAAATGCATAGGTAGATATACTTGGCAATGCCCAGCTTGACCAATGTCTGCGTCCAGCCGACATCCGGTGGCCAAATGTAAACAGCGGATTTCTGCGTTTTTGTAGCCGTCGTGAAGATACCGGTGGAATGGCCGCTTGCCATCAAAGGATGGGCCATGCTAAACACTCTTACAAGGCATTCATGAAGAGACGGGTGCCTCTAGACGCTCATATCCCACCTGATATGTTGCCATTTGCCGTGCTTCTTCTCAAGGAAGTCCACTTTTCGACAGCGATATAGCGAAATACTAAGTCGCGCAGCCATGGAGAAGTTTAGAGGCTGGTGGAGCTGCGGCTGGATCATCACTTGTTGAGCGCTTTAAAGAAAAGACTCGTGCTGGGCGGTTGCCTCATCGCACTCCAGAAGAAGTAAATACGGCCAGGTAGTGTTAGTTTGAAGCGATTCGAGATCCAAATTTGACATCTCAAACGCCCAAAAGTATGTAGCCGCTCGCTTGGTCGGATTGGTGTAGCTAAAAATAGCATTATTATGCGTTTAAAAATGTTTCTCCGAGCATCGGGATATTAGACGGACTCCAGGTTTCATGTTTTGCCACTGGATGCTACATAGTGCATACATGTATAGCAGTAGTATAAGGACTGTGTGGTAGGTACCTAGGTATGGAGTATGTGGAATCGCGAAACGTGACGGCGATGTGGAAACGGCAGCCGACATGCTATTTATGTACTTGTATGTGTAGCGTCACACGATACGTTGGGCGATGAGATGTGTCTGGTCTTGAGGGCGCCGACCCGCACATCGCCAACGTTGCACTTACAGCAACCGAAGCGCCACCAATATCCTACGCGATGTTGCTTGGTGGTGTTGACATGTACCTCCTACTACCTCCTACTACTAACCTACTATACATGGTATGTAAGAGGTAGTATGGTAGGCAATAGCATGAGCCATCGTTCATAATAGCGGGCGTCGCACAACTTAAGTGTCCAACATGCTTTTCGCTCCCGCCATCTTTTTGGACGGGATTTGCAACGCTGTCCAGGGAGCTTGTGGCCTAATGAAGAATGGCTGCAGTCTGGGAAACGCTCTTGATGGCGCCAAAAAGGAAAGATGGCTGGCTCGACGAAGGAGATTGGCTGAAGATTTCCTTCCTTCGCCTTCCATAGTCTGCCTAGTCAGGGACGATGTTATTGCAGGTTATTGCAGTACGGCACGGCTGTGGACTGGATATCCACTTCCTTGGCCACCCCTGTGCCGCCTACCATATGCTGCATATGTATGTTTAGAGCACGACAAGGGTCTCTGAAAGCCAAGTCCAACTGAGGCAGCCGAGCCAAGCGGCAGATTGATTCTTGGCAATCACTTAGAAACGCAGATCGCGACGCCTAAGCCGGCCTTGGCTGATGCTTAACCTGCTGGCCCTGGTCCATGGCAACGAGGATACCACCAGCAGTATGTTTCTGTCGTGCAGCAGCAGCGTAGCGCAGTCGGCATCTCCTTTCGATGACAAAGACGGCGATAATATTCGACGCTCTAATCAGCATTCGGGCAGGTTGCTACTGCCAGTACTGGCATAGTATAGGCGGCAGCAGTATGTAATATCACGGAAGGGGAGAAGTCAAAAGTGCTGCTCCAATGCCTGCGGTTTTGTCCCCTGTCGTCAACTTTTAGCTTCAACTGCCCTGTCAGGGCCACCGCCCACTGTCAAAGTTCTAGCCCCAATCTCAATGCTTGGCCAAAAAGGCTGGACGCCTCTATCAACCTTCAGTGATGAAAAGTCCTTCGCCGCCCCTATCAAAACGCCGTCCCCTGAGCCAATGCTTCAGGGCAGATGATTGCGCGGCTCTCCCGCCGATCGCTGCACCGTACAAGGCAAAAGAGAGACGCCAATGACGTTTAAAGACTTGGAAAAAAGTCTGTTTTGCTGTTCTTCAGTGGATCGTGGCTTGGATCCGCAGCCCCGCCGGACAGGGCAGGGCCAAAACTTGGCTTTTTTTTCGCGCGCCCCGTTTCTGGTTCTGCATCGCGCCGCCTCGAGCGTTACAGGATGGCGGCGATCGGAGGAATGCCTAATAACATCAGACACACTGTATGGAGATGGGCGAGAACAATGGAGCAGGATTAATCACTCAGGGGGGGCCAGCCGGTGAGCAGCTGCAACGAGCGGATAACTGTGCGGCCTTGCTGGCTCTGCTCTGGCTTCATCGCGATGCTGCCGTGCGAATTCCAGTCACGCTCGCCTTGGCGTCGCTCAGGCACGGCGAGCGAAGCTTCCGCACGCCATGCGAACGTTTGAAGACCTCTCGTGCCAAGCCATCTCAGCCATCTCAGCCTCGAAATCACGTCAAGATGACTGATAGGCAGGAGGAAATGCTTCATGCGGCTGTAATCTTGGCCCCTGCATCTGTCTGCTCGCCTATCAAAGCAGCCCTTCTCTGCTTGTTCAGCGGTCAACGAGGCAGAGCGACTGTGTCTGCAGGTACAGAGACCTGTCTCAAGTCAGCACACGCGCTGCAAGCTCCTCGATCATCGTACAAGTACATGCTCACACAGTATCGGTCCCCGCCCAAGGCTCTCAGGAGTTGTTCGATGCGAGCGCTCTGACGAAATGAGACCCGTCCAGCCGTCCCGCTCTTGGCATGGATTTACGGGCATTGCCCGCGGGGACCCAGCGATCAACGGCCGCCCAGGGGGTTTTTAGCTGGCACATGGGAAAAAAAGAAGTGCAGTTGTTGTGGTATCCACAGACGTGATAGCAAAATGGTGCTCGAGAATAGTCGAGAAGATTAAAGAAGGGAAGCAAAGAAGACGCAGCAAAGGATAGCAGCGACAGCAGTATTAAGTACCCACTACTATTAACCATAGCGTGATAGTACTGGACTGTATGATAGCAAGAGTGTTCCATTGTTTACTACTAAGGTACCTAGGTAGCTGTGCAGAAGAACAGAACAACAGCTGGCAGCCACTGGCAGAGACGAGGAACAACTGCTGCCCCTGATTTCGGGCACTGTACTCCGGGCGCGTACCTGTACAGTAGACTAAGGCAGGCTCCCTGATGGATCTGGAAGGTCAGCATTTTGGTGGCCATCCAAGCTTACAGACGGAGTTTATCTCGGCTGTGTAGTGGCCGTTCTCTCTAATCATTGATTTGTCTGACTTGTATATATTTCTCACAGCTAGGGTAATATCATTTAATGCACTACTATCTAGGACCTTGGTGGTAAGCAAATGGTCGCGTTGGACTATAACCTCCCAGGAAGTACTGTGTAAGGTCCCTTGTACATACTTGCAGAACCAGGCTGGACCCGAAAAAGATCAAACACGGCTCCCAGTATCACATGGATGGCTTTTCTTTTCCAAGTTTTCTGAACGCTCGTTTTTGATCAGTCGATATTAGCTGCTACTATAGTATAAGCATACTGCTACCGGTAGTAGCTAGCTGAGCTGCTAGTAAAAGAAGCTCGAGGCCAAAGCACATTTCGGGCCGGGCTGGTTATGCTTTGCGAGCCAACCAGAGGGAGCCAAGCCACACGGGCGAGGCTGGCCTGAGGAATTCCAGAAGCCAAGCTAAAATGAGAATACGATAAGGCGAGCGAGTGTATGGGTACTGCTGTAAGTACTTGGATATATGCACGAAGTTGGGGAATATACAGTACCATAGGAAGAGGAGGAACTAGACTAGTACTAGGTAGGTACTCCATCTTCTTTTACAGAATCCAGCATTGCAATCGCTTCAATTACATGCAAGTAGCAGTACCTGCAAGATACCGTTGAAGGTTCCCAAGACTAGTACCTACCATACTTACTTTACCCATATCAAACTAACCGCTCAGCTCGCAACTTGTGTCTATACGCAAGCCTCGAATGGCCAAGGCACATGCTCTATCGCTTCAGCTGGCTTACTTTCACCGTATTTTACTAGCACCTATGCTCTATACGCATGGTGCAGCAAATCTAGGGATGTGCTCCGTAAATAAGTAGGTACACATGTGCTGCAACCTCCACACAGAAACGCTCGTACAGTGCCCAGCAGCAACCACAAACGGAGTACTCACGCTCCAACACCGTGCTGCGTACATCTACCTGCACTCAGGCCTGTCACCTCCTGTTTA